AGTATTAATATTATCCTCCTAAGGTGGTATGAATTAGAGACACCAAGTGTTTCTAGAAGCTGTGGGCCCTGTCAAAGCGCAAACTCTCCTTAGTGCAATTCTCAGGTCTCCAACTGCCCAGACTTCAGGTGGGTACAGGCCCCAGTAGAGAGCCTCCACTACATACAGTCCAGTTGAGCCGTGGAGTTCGGATGGCTGTTTCGGGCGACGCTTGATCGCGCCTTCTATTATATTACGAAGTTAAGTTATTATCACGCATGCAGGATGGCCCGTGCATCACACACTCTCTGTCCGCCAATTGTCTGCTAGTTTTTCTTGCGATATCGCTTCGGCTTTGGTCAAAGAGGGTCTTCCGAACCTCTGAATCCAATTGAAAGAGTCTACCGAATCCTTTTATCTGCAAGTGTCATCAGGATTATCTATACTGCACATATGTACATGTATACACATATGTACATACCGGATCAATAATCAAATATTTCCGGGGTACAACAAATTTCCTTGTTGCATTTCCAGCGATATCCCCATATTATACGTACGTACAAATAGATGATGTATGACTCCACTTTTCAACGTTCCGACATCACTGCCTGTCTCAATATCTCAGCAGCCCTTATTTTAGATTCCTACTTCATCAAGAACGCATTTATCTTACCATACTACATGTATATCCATGTCCCGCTAACTTCATTGTGGTCAATTTGGTCAGAATAGCGTGATTTCTGATTCGGCGCTGGCCATACGTACCTCTCGGGAAACGTCTAAAGCTATCAAGCTCAGGCAATTATGTATTGTTTTACTCAACGATAAGTCGAACAGAAGTCTTCTTGTGCAGACTCGGGTCTCGAAACAAGCCGTTGCGTAGTCTAATGCAGGTACATCAACGCTAACCTCCCATATAGCCATATTTTTCATACCCGAGTTGCATCATGATATATATATACGTACACAAGTTAAGAAACTATAAGCGCCGAAGGCCTAGCCTAGGGGGTACTGACACGTTAGCTATACCGTGATGTAATACAATTGCGCCTAAATTGTGCACTTGAGCAAACCATCGCGGAATTCTACTGTGTAGTGATGTGGCGTCGTGTATCTACGGAAATTGTTGAGATATCTGCAGTAGCTTAAGCTGCGAGCTGCATTGTATGCACTTCAACATTGGCAACCAGTTCGTATGATTGGCTCGTTTATTCACACCATCCATTCAGCCACTATTCCATTGCATTTATTCTTGCGGAGCGAGTAGACAAGTATGTATACTTCTGAATTTATAGCTTATGCAGGCTCAAGGGCCGAATTCGCTTGGGCGCAATTGAAATCGACAACCTATAGACGGTGAGATATTTCATTTCCTGAATGTTCAAAGCCAGTCCAATTTTAGGTGTGACAGTTCAGTGGACATGAACATCCTTGCTTAGGTCGAATTTACGCTTCACTCGTCAGTTCGACGCCATGAGACCAGGTGAAACGCATTGCCCTATCAAATTTCTCCACAATGACATATACATCGTGCATTGATAGCAAAGGCGCATGTACCTTGTCTGTGAAATGTGCCAGTCAGGTACCGGAACGCCAGCCACTCCCACAACCGTCCACACTATCCCATTTATCCGGTGTGTTGCATATTGCTTTGAGATCTCGTTGGTTGTAGATTAAGTTTCTAACGGTCTCAACCAAGATTTCGAAGACTGAAAGGCAATCCACAAGCGGTTAGTCATTGTCATATGGCGGACTGTGGCTTTATGGAAAGAGTATCCTTAGTTTGAAATTTCGATGCAGGGGAAAGGAGGATTGGTGACATCGTTTGAATTCATCGCGCTGCACGACGGAAGCTCGAAGTTTTTCGTGATATTCTCTCCCTCAGATTGATAGTTTATACCACCACACCTATCGAAATCCCTCAGTTTAATTTTTGGTGGGGGTAAGTGAGTGTTTACGTTTGCATTATATAAGCTGTTTTATTTGGGTAGGGGTCAATATATATTATTACATTTCCTATATATATGGTGTAGGCGGGTTTTTGACAGATTGAGATGGTGACGGGGAGCATCCGAACGACTATGCTAAAAAAGTGACTGACAAGAGCGGCGATAAAGACATTACAAGGTCAAATTAGGTACAAAATTCTTGGTTTTCTTTTGGCCGAGAAACATGGGTCCCCAATCTCACTACAAGGGTAATATCTCGCACTCGTCGACATGCAGACAACCTTAACATATTTCCTTTCATTTCTTATTCCCTTAATGGCGTGACGATATTGCATTTCATCGATGTCTATTATATACTATGGATGAATTTGTCACTATTGCTTTTTCTCCCCTCCAAAAAAAAAAAAAAGTGTGCATAGCATCTTCACGATGGGGAGGTCGGTTAACCTCTTCCAAGAAATACACCCATACTGAATCTACACAAGAACGTTTCATATTCAACTGCATCCTTGGTAACTTCCAGTAAGATGTCGTTATAATTATCGACATTGATGAATGGTTGGTTCCAATTTAATGTCAATGAACCAGAACTGCCAACCCTGTCGCTTGACGGAGGTCTGCCTTGCTTTGGACCTTCGATCCTGCGAGCCAGACCTCCACCTTTATTTGGCATAATATTCCACTGTCAGGCAATTCTCGGGTCGTATTGAGTCAGTTTTAATAAGCAAGAGTTCCCTGTACCTGGCTGCCCAGCATCTGACCCAAGTCGAGATCAACATGCTAGCAAATTCATTTGCCTTGGAAATATAGACAAGTGACATGCAGCAGCCATCAGCTGTCTACAATGATACACTAATACGTTCTTGAATTGCCACTCAGGTATTTCCTTCTCGCCTTCGTCTTGGGTGCCTCTTAAATTCTAGCCATGGCTGGACGGAGTCCCATGACCGGCAGCAGAAGAAAAATTCGGAGTCTGCAATGGCTCCTTGGCCTGCATGATCGGTCTGGATCTTCCTTTATCCGTTCCGGGGTCCGCCCCACCTTCTCGACGCTACATTTGGTCTATTGATTGGTTTTTTTAGGTCCGTGTTTTCGCAGGGGGGCCTGTATGGGTGGAAACCGCCGAAATGCTTTGCAAAACGAGACTAGAAAAAATTTGCTTCACATACTCGATATTTGCAGCTTAATATGTATATGTGTATAGATGCTATGCATGTAGACACGGCAGGAGCAGGTGACCCCATAAACTTGCACGAACCGTCCCAGATAAGAAATGCGGAGAACCCGGCTTTGGATCGGCCGTCTCCAGGTGAGGGTTTTAGCATTGCAATCTCTGAGAGTGAGCTGTCTGTGGCGCCGTTTGTTTTTCCGTCGATATCTCTCATCTCGATCAAGGCACTCTTCGTTTGAGAGTTAGGCGAAGAGCTGAAAGAGAAAAGAAAAGAAAAAAAAAAAAAATCGCCATTGACACTCTTGATTTATGCAGTTTCATGCGGGCAAGCGCGGAAGCAAATGCATAGAATGTCTTACCCAACGGTGGCAAGTGACACGGTCATGTTGTTTTATCATGATCAATATTGAGACGGTTTGTTTGTCAAGTGATATGAAAAACTCTGACATTGCTTGATTGAATATAATTATCGAGATAGACCAGGGTTGTGGTTCTGGTTGGGGCCTCCCCTCCCTTACAAAAGTAAACGAGTTGGAACTCGATGGGAGCTAGGTACCTATAGAACGGATGTTTGGGCTCGCTAAAAAGATGCCAAACGTCGGGGCTAGGCTAGCCGATGCTATCAATGCTTGCTGATATGCAGGTTGGGTCGTTTTTGTGATATCTTGTGCTGAGGCTGGCCCTGGTTTTTGTTGGCGCTATTGAGTAATTTGATAATCTCTTTGACAGTTGTGCCGTTGTCATTCTCCCCGCAAAGTTACGGTGGCAAAATCCTCTAGCAGGGGGAAATTGAGGGGCTCAATTGCAATATCAGTTTTTCAGGGCCTTTGAGAGGCCTCTGCCTTCTCGAGCTCGCCTTCGCTTGACACTATGGTCGTGCTGGCAAACGACCGCAAAATGATATTGTACGTCGTCATCTGATGTCCCCGCATTTATATTGGCATGTCATGGTACTACGTGGGCTTTTTACGAAGTAATTCTAATTATGCCTTCATCGTAATATGGTAGAACCCGATTAACTCATGGATGCGCTGACATGTTCGGCTGGTAGCTCTGGGTTGGTTAGCATCAGGTTTGTTGCATATTTTGCGTTGTGATAGTCACAGCAGTTACCGTCTTCGGGATGAAGGTTCTACAGACAAATTTACCGGAAGTGTTGCTAAACCAGTACTGACTTACATATATACGATAATCGATAACATATAGAATTCTAGAAGCTGTAACAAATTTTTTAAAGCCGTACACTTTGAATCGATCGAATCGAGCTCATGAGGTCTGTTCGTGAGCTTCTGGAGGTGGCACAATTTAAGATATCTACCCTACCCAAATAGGTGACGAAAATCGTTTTCGTTGGCTAGTCTAGAAATCGATTCGTTGGCTCACTACAGCGACTGTGTTAATCGACCCTGCCCAAAAATATACCAGTTTAAGTTAGTTTAAGTGTTTCTCCGGACGGCATCGGTGCAACTCGGAGGGTCTCTTGCTACCGATCCCTGAATATTACCATTTTAAGATAGGCTTCCAGCACGAGAGGGAAATTTTAGCTCGATTTGGAAAACTAAAATTACCAAATGATTGCCAAATTTAGTAGTTCGACGTCGCGATAGTTGTGACCAGGGCTGAGGTCAGTAACGTAGAATGCTTTTGTTCAAATTATAAAAACGGGATCGATGTCGAGATTCAGCTCGATCGAGCATCTCTCGATCGTGAACACACCGGAAATTGTTTCTGGATTCACAGCCGCAAGAGTTTTTTTTGATTCTATTCATCTATTTAGATCGATTAACTCAACTCCCATCAATTGGCCGCTTATATATACCTAGTTTTTCAGAACTTTCTGTCGACTGTCCGTTGTTTTGCAGTAGCTATAGCTGTTATCAGGGACCCGGACTGCAGAAATGCAATCATTCAAACGAATACCGTCAAAATTGGGGTCTCAGGCCCGTACTCTTGCAACAGCGCGATCAGCTGCGTCTCCAGCACTGGCTGATAGGAAATGGAAACTCGAGTGGACACCAAGAACCGCACCTGCGCCCGAACCACCAACGGGGTTTGCAAGAGATTATATCGAAACTACAGATGGGAGACTCGAGCTATTAAAAACGATATCGAAAGAATCAATTGATACGGACAAGCCACCTCTTTTCTTTCAACATGGCGGGTTTGGATGCGCGGATAACTATATCCCCTGGATGGAGTACTTTTCAAAACGAGGTTACCCTTGCTATGCCCTATCCATTCGAGGTCACGGATACAGCTGGGGTCCCTCGTACTATAAAACGGTCTTCCAAACTACAGCGCCTATGCTTGCTCACGACGTGGCCGCCGGAGTAAGACATGTTACTGATTTTCATAAGAAAGACCCAGTTAAGAGACGGGGTGGTGGGTTACCGGTCTTGTTGGGACATAGCAATGGTGGTGGACTCAGTCAGATGTTACTTGATCGTGGATATGCTAAAGCTTCAGCATTAGTAATCCTAGCTGGAACACCGAATTTTGGAGGGTAAGGTTACACTATAGACCGACGGGCTCTTAGGTCAATTGATCAATTGCAAACTAATTGAATATATCTAGGTGGGGCGTTTACAAGAACTGGGGCACTTTTGATCCTTGGTTCGTTCCTAGAATGTATTTCCGGGATCTATTTCATCCGCGCTCGCCTTTATCAAAAACGAGCCTTGTACATCGTGCATTTTTCTGCGACGAATTTCCAAGAGAGGAAGTAAAAGAATTCGAAAAGAAAATGTCGCCATACTTGAGTTACTGGTGGCCGATTCAGATAATGGGGCGATTTGTTAAAACAGAAAATGTTCTTTCCAATCTCACAGGTTGGGGTGGTGGAAGGGTTTTTATTCTTGCTGCGGAGCGTGATAGACTCATGAGCTTGGAATTAATGGGACGTATGGCAGACGAATACCGTAAACAGAGAGCATCCATGGTTCGCTCGAAAGTATTTACAAACGATGGCAGAGATATAGACCAAAACTGGATTTCTGGTGAGAGTGAGAGAACTATATTTGGTGGTTTGGAGGGGATACGGGATGGTATTGCGTACAGAGTGGTAGAGGGGGCAGGTCACCATCGTAAGTTCCCGCACCGCTTGTGCATATTAATACAAAAAAGAAGAAGAAAAAGAGGCTAATCCGCGGTACAAAGTTCAAAACGATTTGCAGAAAAATATCAGTGCTAAATATCTTGAGCAGTGGTTGGAGATTTTGGATAAAGCATAGGAGCTAACTGGATTAAAGCAGGCTAAGCCATATGTATGGCGTGAAATAAACCATGTATTATAATGTACGCAGGATTGAACCCAGTTCGTACAACCGTGGAAGAATTGGACTAGCTTTCGTAGTGTTCAAACGCCAGTGGCGTGGTTCAATGGATAAGGTGAAAATATTGTGGCAGATGTTTCAAAGAAGAGGAAGGAGATTTTCGAGTTCCCTTTTGAGCTTAGGTATGCACAACCTACTGTGCTTCCCACAAGTGAGGCGAAGTATAATCGACTTGACTTTTTGAATAAGGCCATTTCCGAGTAGTGTAAGGTAGTTTTTGCAGAAATCGGTAGGGAAAGGGTCATCTGATCTCGCGGCGTCCCGGATTTTTTGGAGTAGGATATTTCGTTCCGTAGCTGTGCCGAAGCCGTAGAGGAGCTCAAAGAACATAATACCAAGGGCGTAAGAATCCCCAAGGTGGAGACCCTTGTGGCCCGTAACAATATCTTTAACATCGTCAAGCGCCTCCTCAGCCCATGGTGGCGGCATGTATAGGGTTGTGCCGCCCCCAACTGGTCCTTGGGGCGCTGGTTTCCCATCACCTCCAAGGACACGTTTGATGTCAGCCGTGAGACCGAAGTCTCCAATTTTTGGTGTGACCCAGCAGAGGTCTCCTGGAAGACAATCACCACCCTCTGGACAAGTGTGCCCTCGGTGGCTGCATTTACAACCAGCAACGCGAATACTGCCGTTTATCTCCCCAATCGGGCCCTTCTCAACCTTCAGGAAAATATTGGCTGGCTTGAGGTCACGATGCACAAGACTGTGGTGATGCATGTATTCGACGGCGTCGACAATCCTCAGCATAATCTGGGTAGCAGTCTTCGGATGGAAGGTGTATGTGAAATCAAAGGCTTTGGGAGAAGAGTTATTCTCTCGAGGTGTTCTGATGAGGTCATCGAGAGATAGAGAATATTGAGCCATTTGAATACTTAAAATGTGCACATGAGAGCTCGGCTGTGCAGGCAGCAATGCCAGTTGTCCGCTTTCTCGCTGAACCAGTCTACTGTCGGTGTCCTTATTACCATCGCCCATCAGGGATAACCGAGATACGGCTTCCAAGTTGCCGTTCCCCGATGACTCCCCACCTGACTCATCTCCATCCGAATACTCAGGTTGAGAGTTCTCTTGCTCTTCGCTGTCCTCATCCTCATCCTCATCTTCACTTTCATCATCTTCGCTTTCATCGCCTTCGCTTTCATCATCGTCTTCGCTTTCTTGTTCGTAATTGTTTTCACCGGAAACCTCATCGGAAACACTCAAATCCCAAGCACGGTCCTCGGTGTAATCCTCGGTGTAATCCTCAAGCTCACTGGCATCTGGACAAAGCTCGGTCTTCACCCTCTCGAACTGATCTTGGCTCATCCTTTCCATCCACGAGCCATAATAACGGACGATGTTCGGGTGGTCTAACCTTGCGAGAACTTTCACTTCATGGTGCAGCTCCGCAAATGCCTTTTCACGAGCCTTCTCGTCCACGATACGAGCTGCTCGGAGGAACGGCTCGGTGATTATGATCTTTTTGATTGCGTAAACTTCGCCATCAAGAAGATTCTTGCAAGACCAAACGCTACCGAACCCACCTCTACCCAAACATTCTAGATCTTCCCATCGAGGCCCGAAAATGGCAGAATATTCATCACCTTGGCTTGCCGGTGCATCTAGGCCCACCCTAGGAGTCTGAGCCTGGAAGCCAGTCGGCGGCTCTAAGCCGGAACGTTGCAGCGCTTGACATAAGAAATTAGCTGTCAGCACGGTTCTATATTCTAACCAACGAGTTCACGCTTTGGGAACTATTTACACACCTTGTTCGAGGGCTTTAGCCTCGACCGAGCCTCCGGATATCGCCCCAACAAGTGATCCTAGGTAGGCCGATACTGCATTCCGATGGCCTTCAAAAAGCCTGCCACCAAAGTCCAAGATTCGTGAATCAATCACTCCAAGATTAACCATCTTCTTGAGGGACTCGTCAATTATCCTTTGTTTCTCTTCTGCCGAAGTATACTTATACTCTGGTTTCGAGAGAATATTACGAAGGTGATGCTCAGTCGAGGTAGCCTGAAGGAGCATTTTAAGATGTTCTCGATTGGTAGAGTCAAACGGATTCTGGTCTCGAGGAACCGAGCTAATATCCGAATCCTTAGGTGAGTTTTTGACTTCCGGGGTTTCTTCGTTTTGTTTTGGATTTGCAGGCATGGTAGAGAGGTTGCTAGGATCATCGATTTGACGGTACTGTCTGAAGCCAACATCAGGAGACTCCGACGAGATTGACCTGTTTGTCTCCGAGTCGGAATTCATGATGTTTAGATCAGGATGGATCCTAAGATGAATATCGAGATACTGAGGATTTGAAGAGATAATGCCCCCAGATTAGCACGTACCCAGCGAATTTAAGGGCTCCGGCAGACGATGGAACGGGCAACGGGCAACGGGCAACGGACGGGGTTTCGCGTCGTGTATCCGGCAGCAAGACCAGCAAAAGGATTAATTTCGGTGGGTTAGAAACCTGTTCGGTTTGTGTTGGTTTGTGAAAAATACAACAAAAAGTTCTATGCAGGCTGGGCAATGGATTCGAGGCCGGCTAGAGCTCGAGTGATGATTAAAGGTTATGCCGCACTATGTGCGCTGTTACAGGCGAAAATACAAGGAGAGCTTCTTTATAAGAGATGCAATGCAGTTCTATTGAACATCTAGAGTCCCGGAATAGGTCCTGATCTCGGTCTTGGGGATTGCGCTACCTTTGCCCTGGAGTGTGCTGGCGCTGGTATGCCTGCGTATGCTCATGAGCATGCCAGCGATGTACAAAAAAAACTAAAAGAAAAAAAAAACAGGGGGTTTTAGTGGGATATTATATAAGAAACTGGCTCAATGTAAAGGAGCTGAGTGTATATATCGGGCCAGCCAAAATAAAAGAGTAGCTGTTCGCGCAATGGTAGGTCTATACTTTTTATACCAATTGGTGGCCAAAGATGTTGTTGATAATTTTAGGGCGTGCGGATCGATATTTGGGTTATCCGGGTTGAGTCCCCTTAGCCCATGCGGCCATTTCAGTGCACTTGTCGGGGGCGAAACCTCCAGTTTATATGCGATCGAGGGTAGTAATTTGGTTAATGTTAAAAGATGTCATGTCGCGGCTCATTTCCCCAGATTTAGTAAGGGGAAAGTAGCCGCGTAGTTGCTACTGTGTACTCATTTTGTCTGCAAAGAGGCCAGCAGCGGTGAAGGATCTAACGTGGAACTTATTCTTCGCTTGTTTCGAACCAAGTAGAAAAGGGTCGAAGATTTTGGCGAACGTGCAGGGGCCCATCTCGGGATCGCATCGACCGTTATGAAAGTTACAATTATAAATTTAAAACTAGGCAAATTGCTACGTGTTAATCCCAGAAGTGCTGAATTCTAGTCAAAACACAGATATGTTCTGTTTCATAGTAGAGAAGTGTCTAGTCCCGTGAGCGAGCCCAGCCCACATCAACAGCCATGAACAAAAAACCCAAACTATTCGCTCCCATTTATACATAGACCGCTAACAAGAAAACCACCTTTATACGGGTATAAAATTCAGAAACTGGGGAGTAATGGCATTAAAGGGTTTCCGTGGTCGACCCCAGTGTACCAGTGGACGACCGGAATTCATCAGAGCTATGGACAGGGGACTTCGAGGACTGGTACGACGAGCCTCCTGTTAGTTCTGGTTTCCTCCCCCGTACGAAGTAACTAGTAGTTAGGAGGGGGGTTAGTTAAACAATCGTCCGCCGTAAGAAAAGACCTCGGGATGTTGTGGCTTACAACTTGAAGTATCCATGGAATGATTTGTTGTTGAGATCATTGCGGCATAAAGCTATGAAGGCCTCAACCTCATCGGGCTATATTCCACGAATTAGTTTTACGATTATAATATTATATGGGGATTGAGCCCGTGCAACTCACCTTCCATCCGAGAACCCGTGTGAAAATTGCAAGCGAGAGGCCTTGCAGACCATCTGACAAGGCGGCTTTTAGAAACCGCCCATTCTCTTTCTGGCCTCGATTTATAGGCCAATTTCCCAGAGGGCATTTAACAACTTCCTCCTCAACATCAACAAATCCAGCTTCTTCAAACCATCCCTTTAAGTCCGCAGCAATGTCTATGGGCCTGCCACACTGCCTCGCAGCGTCAACGTAAAGTTTTTCCCACTTCTTCCAGTTGCAGTCCTCTGGGATCGAGCCATCGTCGCAGAAGGCATGCGTTAGGACTTCCTGTGATTCAACCCAACCGCCTGGCGTGAGGTTGCTGAAAATAACTATTAGAATTCCAGACCAAAAAGTTTCAGGAAATGCGCGGCAAATTCGTCGTACTTACTTGTAAGCTTGTTTTATGAGACGTGGCCAGTCCTGTTTCGCCAGGTCAGTGAGATGAGTTGCCCATTAATAGGATTTTCAATTATATCTTACGGATATGCTACCTAACATCATACGCATGTGCACGTAGTCAAACGGCGATGTAAAGTTCCATGTTTGTTCTCCGTCTAGTTAGATCCCGAGAAAGGCAAATCAGTCAGACAAGACGCTTACCAAGATCGTCGATCTCGAAGATGACATTTTCAGGGACCCACTCAGGCTGAATTGGACTTAAATCGATCCCTCGAATCTATAGTACCGACATCAGAGTGTGTCGATACTCCAGAGTTGAATGTCGCTATGCTACGTACCTTAGCATGAGGATATTCGTCTGCCAAGTCGATCGCCCATATGCCTATACGAGTAGAAACCATCTCTTGTCAACTTGGCCCAAAATAAGGGGTTTTCTTTCTTTCTTTCTTTCTTTCTTTCTTTCTTTTTTAGGATATAGTATAAACATGAGCTGTACCTGTCCCTGTTCCTACATCTAAGACTTTCCGGAACTTTGGGTTTGGGAGAGTGTGTAAATCACCACCTTTCATCAAACGGAATAGGTGATGTTGAAGATCGAGGCGTTCACTTTCCCTCTCATCATTCGGGTACATATAAGAACCATCGGTCCCAAAGCTATGGGTACGTTAGAATAATTTTCGACATGAAGGTCATCCCGCATGTATTTCTCGGAACACTGACCCAGGGTAACGCCTTCCGTTTTCATATGTATAATCGGTAACGGATTCAGTAAGACTCCAACCGGCGAAACTAATGATTTGGTTTTATTGTTAGCGAATACCTTCAGCATTTAAGTGTGATATTAATATTCCTATGACGGAAAATTCGGATCCGGCAATTAGAATCCGTTGCGTGACCTGGCCAACCAGCCACATTTGCATTCTCGACACCAAAGATTTCGTGTTGCTGTTGGATAAATATCAAATATCGACCGCCCCAAAAGCTTCGAAGAGCAATAGACCCCAATTCGGGAGGGCCGGTACATATGAGTGACAAACGTTACAGGGCCTCCAAAATTTGCGAAAGCGACGCTGCAACACACGTTCACACAGGAAAAAGGAAAAATGAAAATTATAAGAAAAAATCTGGAGCAATAGGACAGGCTCACCTTGCTGAATCTTCATCCGAAGAAGTTGGGGCCGGCTAGACGGGAAGGCGAATCGACGTCAGTCAAAGGAAGTGACGGTGGTGGTGGTGGCCACCCCTCATTGCTCTGTCAAAAGTATTTTGAGGGTGTGGTGCGAGATGAGGAGGAACCCCACCGCGCTATACCACAGATAGAGAAAGTGTTAGCAAATAGATTGTGAACTTACGTCCGCCTCGATGAGATCGGATATTTTGAGTCCTCGGCTCATATTGATGTCGAGGCGAATAAAGTTTTAAAAATCAGATTTCAAAATAGAAACAGGAGCGCAAAGGGATATCCTGAGCTGAGGACCCGAGGCGCTGGGTCGACGGAATAGCGAGGAAATGGCGAATCTGGATCGCTCGGCGATTTTAGGACCCGATAGACTGGAACACGCCAACTGGTACTTGGATCCTGGAATCGATTCCAGAAAGCGAAGAGGCAGTGAACCTTCAGGCCCCTTATGTAAATTAGTTTGCGGGATACGGCCACTTTCGATTACGAAGAGATATCGCTACTCGGGTTAAGACGGAAATTCCGTCGCCGGATATGCACAGTGAATTCGAATGACTGAGGAAGAAGAGGAGTAGGAGGAGTAGGAGGAGGAAGACAGCTTCATTATTCGCTGGAAGGGGAGCCTATCGACTGGCGGTGCCTTAGGACTTATAAGTGCAGGAGGAAAGGAAAGGCCTTGCTTTTTTCCCCGGTCCCAAGCAGCTCAAGCAACTAAGCAGCGGATCTGGAACAATCCAGGTGTGGCGGTTACCAGTTTGCATCTGACGGACAGCGAGGAAATTTAAGAAGGGCACCAGGCTCTATAAGATTAGCGCCTCAGAGTTATGAACGATTGTGCACTAGTTATATATCATCATGCAATGCTATAGCGCACCGATGTCGAGTCAATTGAATAGAAGAGCTGTAATACATGTATATACATACTATCCGCCAATTACTTAAGAATGCCCTGTGTCAGTCCAGCAATGATCACTCAATGAGACTATCAGCTCCAACTATTCCTAGTTTGTGAGCCAATGCAGCGCACGAGCCACAGCTCTGGATCGATATCCGAGTGTAGATAGGTCGACGGCTCGAGGTCGTGTTGAAGAAGTATATATTGGCGTACCTCTTACTTACTACTTAGCCTGGGCTGGTAAGTCCCTAGGTACCTACCTAGGTAAGTAGGCACTTGAATACCTAGGTACTTACTTACACAATTGATAAGTACTTGATTAGTGAAGTACCTACACCTTGAGCAAAAAGGGCCGGACCGAACCTGCAGATCATCGATGGAGATACCGCCTCCTTAATTTTCTTAACTCAGATCTTGCGAGAGAGAAAGCGTGTCTGGGTGGTGTGTGGTTAACCAAACTGACTAGGTCTGTGGTCCTAAGAATTGATCATAAAGCCTAAACCTTCCGCTCTGAATTCAACCGCATCAATGTTGCGTGACATTACTGTTGACAATTCATCTTGTTCAGGATATGTGTTGTGTATCAAGCAGGACCTGTACTTACTCCGTATACCGTAGCGAGATTGCATTGTATATTCTGGACAGGCGCAGTGCGTGCAGCTTTCAATAAGTACTTAAGTACTTACATACGGAGTACTTACTGACTTATGTAAGAGGTGTGTTTGGTTTATTTATATTGGCGCAAACATTACAGCTAGTTAGAATCAAACCTCGGTATCAACTTCCTCTTGTACTGCTCTTGAATACTACTACTTATCCAGGTAACTACTTGTAAATGCTTCCATACCGGCCCTCCCGCCCACCGTATTCCAAGGCGGGGCCCAAGCAAGGGAGGGGCACAAAAAATAAAATAAAGGGCAAAAGAGGATCCGGGGTGAGAAGGGTCTCAAGTCTGCGGCGGTTTAGCCTTGGAGCTCAGCTTAGGACTGGATCCCTCGTGCACACACATACAATGCAATACTACTTGAAATTTACTGCTTATCGATACAATTCTGTTTGTAAAGATTGACGACTCTTAAATCAGGTCATTCGGATCCGGTCCAGTGCTGTTCCAAGGAGAACTTTCGATTTCAAAATTTCAAACTAGTACTGCTTGGTTGTTTTAATTTCGACATCGGTGGATCCATCCACGCATGGACCGACTGACCAAAATTGAGTAGCAGATACGCGGTCTTCCGGCTACCGTCATTACTACCTCGGTACATATGCATATACGTACCCGATCGCGATCATGATCTTGTTGATTGAAAGGTTACTCTGGAATCTACCGCGCCTGGACTTCGCGAATACGTACTTGCACAGAAACTTTTCAAAAGAAGATTCATTAGCATTGTGTAATATTTTAGTAGAGCCCAGGTCCGATACCCGCTTGTATCCACCGTACAATTAGGTAGTGTCGATCACACTCGATGAAGAACCTTAGGTTAGGTCGGGTGAAGGATCGTAGGCAAGCAACCTTGTCGGCGACAAGTTTGCGAGTTCGGGTATCACCAATTGCAATCGCAAATTATATTGATGCACATATGTACGTCCCTTCGCGATAATGGATGAGTCCGAAAAGCCGAACGCGAATGGGCTTAGATTACTGGTGGCCATGCATATGACCTAGGATTAGTTTCGACGGGAAGTGGCATACACCGTGTTTGAGACCCCTGCTCCCGTCGAGATCATGTCGACACCACATTTCTACCCCTGTCGCCGCGATCTTGATCAGTCTCGACGATATTAAAAATAACCAGGTGACCGGAACAAAGCGTGCGCAGTTGTCCGGGCTCCTCGTAATCGATCGAGGTTTACTCGGCAAGGTGCAACCACGACCTATTGGTGCAGACAGGGTTGAGAGGAGGAGGAGGAAGACATAGCTAGCTGTAACAGAGCTTCTTTCGAGCTTCTAGAAGCCGTTGTATCGATCAGACGGGGATTGTAGTAACCCATCCCGAGTTGATATTAATTAATGGTGTCGCAATCCGGATACCCTAGATTGAATCGAAGGAGGGGGAGGTAGGTCTGTACTATATACGGCATGTAACCGTTCCTCACATGAGGCTATATGCCTAAGTAAGTACCTAATCCAAGTACATGTACGTGTACATATGTTGTGCAAAGCTCACCCATGCTAGAATGATGATGGGCAACCCCACTTGCCATCTTCAAACGATCGATTCACATTTCGGTTTAGCTAGGCATCATCGAGCAGAACTCGAGGAGGTCGGGGTGATCAGGGGAGGTGGAGAAGAATTCTGAAGAAGAAGAAGTAGGGATACCTACTAGCTAACTCAGTTCACACCCCCTTGTGGCACCTTTAGTATAGACCCGTGTCCATGAGATGTTGGAAATGTGTCAAAACAAATGAAAAAAAGGAAAGGGAGAATGCGGCGTAACCTCTAAATCCGGAATTCCGTTCGTGCAGATGTTCGATCGGACCACAGACTTCGAAATCATAGCTGAGGTTACGCAAGAAGGATGACCGTAAAATCACGGCAAGCCGTTTTAATCAACGCGGAACGACCGAGGATACTTTTTTTTTTTTTTTTTTTTTTTCTGGGGGAGGGGGAATACGGGCCTCAGTTGGGGGAGAATATCGATATCGATAGTTGTAGTTGGTTGGCTTTGTGGTGCACTGATGATATATCTACTCCCTAACCATCGACTTAAGTACTTACTTACTTACTCAAGTACTTAATTACCTTGAGATTAGAATTAAATTGAAGTGTTCTCGTGATATATACTTAAGTACTTATCGATAAGCTTTTAACTGATATTATCTACTATGTAATAGGATGGGATGAAATGAAATGAAATGTGTTGGGGCTGTGGTTGTTGATTGAACGGCGGGATAACCCGATCAGGGCTCCGACGCCGCCGTGCAGTGCATTGCATGCGCTGTAGCTGAATATCTGAATATCTTACGTACTTACCTTAGGTACATACCTTACCTCTTCGACTTCCCGCCGGGTATCGACTTGCAATTGACTGTTATATATGCATGAAGCATCCAAAGTATTATTATACTCGAGGCATTCGATCCAAGTCGATATTGAATTGTATTGGTTCGTACGGGATACACATACAATATATATTTTACCGGCTCGGAATGTTAACCTGACCTCCCCGAAGCAAGTCGTTCCCGGAAGAAAAAAAAAAAAAAAAACCTTCGCCCGTTCAACATTCCCCCGTCCTCGTATAACTTAACCGTCGTTTGCCATGAATATTGCCCGTGCGGATTCGATCCAAACCTCTCCTCAATAGGGGGTAGCCTGGTGGAAGGACAGACCTCAGGTAAGTACTTAAGAACTTACTTAAGTATTATATTGTTTTGTCGGTAAGTAGGTATGTAAGTAAGTATATATCACCTTACATTTGCATCATCGGGTTCCTGTTCCTCTTCCAAACCTTATCGGTATCGTCTGATACCTTATATATCATACTACTAAGTAGGTACTTACTGACTTAAATAAGTCTTTACTTACCACTGCAAGTATTCACTGAAGTATTTCTTAACTACCTAACCTACTTACCTCCTACCTACCTATACACATATACACAGAGGACTTATCGCTTCAATTGCTCATTTGCTTACAATTACTTAAGTTCCAGTACTTACTATAGACAGGTACTTAGATACGCCCTTCTTAGCGAGACGTGGGCACCGGAAACTCTCCAGAAGTGGCAGGAGGGAGAAATCGGACCGACAAACGGAACCATCGGGCTCAACCTACCTACACCTGGCCCTCGTCATCCCGACAATCAATTCAAACGAGGGAAACCAGTCGAGCTAATATAAAAGCTAAACCATTGCAGTGCAAGCAAGGTCTGAGAAGGAAAAAAAAAAAAAAAACAGTTGGGAAGGAAAGAGAAGAGACGCCAGGAAGCCGACACTGCCGTAAAGCCGAGACAATTTCCCAGAAGTCCAAGTGCGAGCCGATTCGGCCCAACAGCGCTTGTTGCCTGTTCCTGTTCCTGTTGCTGTTCCCGTTCCTGTTCTTGCTCTTGTTTCTTGTTTCTTGTTCTTGTTCTTCTAGTGAATTCTTCTGGCTGTACGTGTGAAGCGGACCAGCCGTGCGAGAAGGAAGGGAAGAGAAGAGAAGACGGCCGGACAAGGGAAGAACTACCAGGCCTTGCTTTGACATAATATGCAAACCTCCCGCCGCTAGAGAACTGCTACATCGAAACTCTCCCAATCATTCATTCTGTCTCTCTCACCCTCACCCTCACCTTCACCTTCATCCTCTCACCCTCACCTCTCACACTTCTTTTTCTTCTTCTCTTCTTCTCTTCTTTATTTTTTATTTTAATAATAATTCTCTCTCATCCCCACTTACCTTTACGGTCGACTTGGCCACCGGCTTGACTGACGGTTCAGTTTGGCATTCCAACCACGGATTCTACCCGGCGCAAAAAGCGGCCCGGATCCTAGCACGCTACTGACTTAGAGTACATATTACATACACACATAGAAAAAGAGACACCCGCCTTTTGATTGGCCATTTTCGCGCATGCTGGTAGGCTTAAAAATCACCCGGGGCCATTCATAGAGAAAGCATCGACTGCACAAGGCTTGACTCGTGTTTGAAGTTTCTCACTCCCTTCGATTCTAGCAGCATCACAGTCCTCTCCCCGACCAGGCTTTCTTTTTTTTTTCTCGGCCAGTGCCGTTTCGTCGCCAACGATGGAGAAAACCGGGGCCGTGAAAATGCGCAGTTCAATCGCTTGTGCGCGATGTCGAAAATCAAAGGTCAAATGCCTCAACAATGGTGTAAACACACCGTGTCGTGCTTGTGAGGCTACTGGGCGAGAATGCACTTATCCACCTCCTGCAGTACCTGGTAATACTGAATCCTGCGCTTCATCGGCCGTTAGCTTGATGGCCTCCTTGTTTTTACGCAAAATGCTCACGTTGGCGTATGTTCACACATGTAGGAAGCTCACAGGCGCACACTCTCGCCCCCGCCTCGGCGACGGGGTCCTATTCGTCTCCGTCAAACTCGATACATCACGGTGCTGTTAATGGATCGCATGGAATAGGAGGTACTGGCCAGGAGGTAAGGAGAATCCCAAAACTTTCCTGTTCGCTCAGCTCATCACCAGTATTGTATACCTTTGAGCATGGCCATCTCGTCATCTATGTCCTTTTTTCATCCTCAATTTATCTTATTCTACCACATTCCATTCTATTTAAACCTCGTCATAGAATCCCGAAGACTAATTGAATTCATACTCTTATCCTCTGCAGAAACCAAGATCGAGACCGAAAAAACCTACAACAGGCCTTCAACATCCGTACACAACAGCGGTACAAGCAGCCTACCCTCGTGATGGGTCACAAAGACCTTTGGCGGAGGCACTGGACCCCAACGTGCTCACACCTACTGTCTGGTCCGGCATAGTGAGTCTAGTTCTATATTTAACCATCGAATGCGACCATTCAGTCCTTCTAACAACCCCAATTCTTTAGTATGACCTTCTTACAATGCATTATCCGCATCTTCCGATTCTTGTAAGATTGAGGTGCCCAATTATCATTTGAAGGACAGGTAGAAACTAACATGTCCACCAGCATCGACCCACATTTTTAAGACCTTTAACAGAAGCTCCAGCCGACGCAGAGGCTGCCCACATTGCGACCCCACCTGCAAACAGCACGTCCGCGACACCCCCTCCATCCCCCTCACCTTTGGTCCTCCTCGGCGTCCTTACACTTACCGCCCGGTTTTCGTCACAACTTATCAAGCATCACAATACAACGGCTATAAATACGTCCGAATACTATGCCACTGCTTTGAAGTCTAGGCTGATGACCTTGAATCCGCACGCGAACGATCCAGACGATGATGGTTTCCTTACACCAACTGTAGCAAAAGTGCAGGGGCTAATTATGTTAGCTGTCCACGAGCTTGGACAATCGCATGGTAAAAGTGCTTGGCAATGGCTTGGAATTGCTGCTAGGATGTGCCAGGTCTTAAACTTACCCCCGAAAACTCCGAATCTTGTTAAAGGCTGGATTGCTGAAGAATCGGAGCGGCGAACGTGGTGGGCGGTGGTAATGCTCGACAGAATGTTGAGCAATACGGGGGGAAGCGGCGGAAGGGCATTTACATATGGTTGGGAGAGAGTGCGAGGGGTCCCATTACCGTGTTCCGAAAGGTCTTGGCTTTTTAGCGAAAGAATTACGGCAGGAGTCCTCGATACACCGATTTTGGATCCCATTGCTACCACATCGACGTTTAATTCCGATGGATCTGGCGGCCACAAGAACGGGGTTACGGATCCCATAGTCGAATTCCCCAAAGAAGAGGAGAGCGTGCATGCTCGGCTTATTCGCCTAGTTGATATATGGGGCCGAGTAACGATATACTTGTGCAATCCATCGACCTCACTTTCGACGGCGGAAACACTCGGACAGGAATTAGAACGTTGGAAGGCAGGGCTCCCCAAGTCTCTTGCCTACAGTCATAAAAATCTCCTCGCGCACGTCGCTGAACGTTCTTCTTCGTCATACGCTCTTCTACATATCATATACTTTCTATCAATACTTCTGCTCCATCGAGAGTCTCTCCCGGTTTTGCCGCCAGCGAGCCCCATTCCAACCACTCCAAATAAATGCTTCTCAGCTGCTCGGAAAATAACAGAAATTGCAAGAGAAATGAGTACGTGGCTTTCACTGCCTCTGACTCCAATTATATGCTTTGCAATATATGCGACTGCGTGGGTTGGAACTTATGGGCTTCATTATCCTCACATGACTGGCCCTCCAGGTAACGGAATGGGAAGCAGAGATCCTACATTTTTACTTTGCATCATTGAAAGCTGGAGATCAAAATGGCGTGTTGCAGACGGCTGGGTCAGGGCGCTCGGCTCTCTTCATTCATTCTTGAGAAGGAAGAGAAAGGCAGCGGAAATTGCGGATATGGCGTCTAGCCGTAAGAGACGACGTTCTGTCGGAAGTGATGATATCGCTTTACCAGAGCCTCAGTCTGCTACCCCAGGAGCTGAAGAAGCAGCGACCCTCAATGAGGAAATGAAAATATTCAATAAAACAATAACCGATTTCCTAACTTTATCTCTTGGAGGCAGTGGAGGCTCATCTCGGGACGGACACCGCCAAACGAAACGTTCGAAGAGTCATATTGGCTCTGGGGGTGCTGGATCGGACACGGAGATGCAAAATGCACCCTCGACCTCTGTCCCGGTGCCGAGTATCCCCTCCATTAGCACACCAGTCCCCGGCGACTCCTGGGTAGCAGTAAATAGGGACCCTAACCGTGCCTTACACGGGCTTTTAGCCGCGGCCCAAGCCGGTGAGAGTAGCAAGGATCAACTTCACCAACGTTCAGAGCCACCATCAAATGTACCAACGCCCCCAACAAGCAACCCATTAAGTTGGAATTCTGCAGAAACGGCGATAGCGCAGCGATCGACAGCATTTTCACACTCTGATACAATGCTACCGGAAAACACACCGTCGAAAGCAGAGCATCCAAGTGACCCCAACAACTCTGGGCCTCAAGCACCAGGATCCCAAGCACCAGGATCCCAAGCAATTCAGCATGCAGAGTCAAATGGAAGCACTACCTCGCCAGGCCAAGTAGTCGTTGATAATCATGGCCCAAGCTCCATTCAGGATGTTGCCAAACCTGGCTCGGTGTCGGACTCATCGGAAATCCATGAGAAAGATACGATTGCATTTGAAGGGTGGGGCATCCTTGGGCTCGCAAAAGTTGACTTGGTTGGGTTCACTGAAGGAAAGGTATGGCAAGATTGGGCCTGTGGCCAGCCCGGATGGTTTGACGCAAGCCACGTGAGTGGTCGTTTAGCTGAAGGAGACGCAGAGTAATCTGGGCAAGATTTTGCGCCTAGAACTTGTCATCATTTTATTGCTGAGGTCCGTTTTCATCTTTTAAGTTCGTTTCTGGGAAGACACTTTCGATATCTTTATATTGCCAGCTATATACCCTATTCATTTGGATATCTCTTTCCATTTCTTTTTGTTTTGTTTTTTTTCCTTTCCCTTACGCCTTGGCCATTTTGCTTCATATATGTCGGAATAGCTTTAAACTGCGCTCGACTCATACAAGAGCGAACTCGTAAGGTTGGCCTATGATAGGGGCCGTGTTAGAACTGTCCTGTTACAATTGTACGATATATTATTTCTGCAGCTCCATACTTCACTATTGGACGGGATATTCTGTTCTCTCTGCTTAGATTTTTATCTTGACTACCCAAGTTGAAGTATTTTTGTATGTACACGGTAAATCCCGAAGAACAATTTTTCTCTCTTCAATGCATTCGCGTTATTTTTGAGGAAATGGAGTGTTCCCCCCCTTGTCCTGGGCTAGATTGACACGGGTCATCGCGCGGGTCGAATATGATGAACCCCACTTGCGATTCTAAGCCAATGCAATATGATCCTATCATATACATACTCGGGATTAGAAGATACTTGGTTAGGTATTTTCGAGATAGTAATATATGGACTAGTTGGTGTACAGCAGCTATTAATATTCCCCTGGTATTAGGAGCAGGCAGCGCAGCTTGATGTTTCTCAATCCTGCGGAATACCTGATATATCTGGTTGTGCAGACTGCAGTACTGGTGGCGTTATGCACACATACGCACTAAGTAGTAGCTGGCTGCTGTAGACCGCTCGAGATATATTACAGGCAGTCAATACATCGTCTGTATGTAACGGGTAGTATATAATGGTCCCTATCGAAAGACGCTGGTTATATATGTTGTTCGATTTGATTCTGGTTATCCTAAGAACACAACTCACTACAACGTGCGCGGACTAATAATACAATACACTGTGTGCGTGTTTGAACGTTCGAAACTTAAAATCCTCAACGTCCCGCTATTATCAATATGCACACCCGGGATGAGTCCCGTAAGTAAAATTACGATCCTCATAGGGAAACCCGTCTTAAAGCTAATCTAGTAACTTAGCGATTACAAGCAGCCCGCGGACAATTTCATTGTTCCAATGGGCCAATGCAAGGCAATCTGGTCTTGACCGTTGCGGTTGGGTGAGGGACGGCAAGCCTCTAATCGAACGTCACGTTGAATAAATTCAATGCATGCATATGCAGGGCGGTATTCACCAGCATACATACCTATTCGCTCTACCCCAACGAGAGAGTACTCGAGCGTCCGAGTTGATAAGGACGGAAAAGCGGGTCCCCAAAATTGGCAAAGGCGGCGAAAGATGGGATCGAAAGCTTCCATAGCTTATATGTAGCCTGCCTTAAGCGCCGGGGCACCTTGATTCGGCTTGGTGGTGTCGAAACCAACCAAGCCTCTTCGAAACCTGGTTGGTCAGACGTGACCGGGCCCAGCTCCACATCTTGCCGGGTCTCACGAACTACTCAGAAGTTTCTCCCTTTTAAACTGCCCTTCTGCAGAATCTCTTGAGTGTCGGTATACAAAGTACGTACATACCTTTGCGCAAGACGGTAATAAGGATCGAATTGACTGCCGGCCGACGTACTCTATCCTTTCGTATATACACACCACTCTGTCTCCTTTTTCTTCGCATTTTCGCCCCATTGCGGTGCATTGGGTCTGACCGTCTGTATTCCCAAGCTCTTTTGCATACGACTGTTCCGTCGGTTCTGGAGGTGTACAGACTTAGAAATTTCAGACGAATTCTCAGCTCGGTTTCAGCTCCACCCTCCAAATTGTGTGTGTTCCGGAAACTGGCCTTTTCCGCTTGTCGTCATTCCATTTTCGCTCACCCTATAGCCTGACCAAATCTATTCTTCGTGATAGAAGGATTTCGTATCCTCTCTAGCTGTCCACAGCCATCGGAACCTCATTATAGGACCCATATCAAAGATTTTATGCTGCACGTCGAGTGCATCAGGATATCCTCCCTGCCTGCAGCTTCGCCGCATCCCTACAGGTTAGGCCCGGCAAATACCTCGGACACTTAACAGGAAGCATTGCATCTAAACCTCCATCTCGCATCCGCGCTTTCTGCCCCTGACATCGTGTACTTGGGTTCCTGCTGGGGTATTTGCAATTTTCGAATTCCATCAAAACCCTATCGCCGGGCTTTAAGTTTGCGGGGTTCTTTCGGTCGCCTATCCACCTATACTATAGTCGCTGGGCGACCAAGACTTATACACATAATACTCCACCATGGATGCCACATCTATTAAAATCAAAGCCGTCTCACGGCCGTCGAACCTGAGCCGCAAAGTTATCACACCAAAGCCGTTGAACCTGAAAGTCTCAGCAATCAAACTAAAGAAGAAGGCCGGGGCACCAGCACAACATTACTCCCTTCAGGACGAGAACTTCGATCCTCGACCGTTCTCTTTTCTAGAAAACGATCCTGTTACACCAGGATTTGAACCGATAACGCCTTTCGAAATTACACCTCCAAATTCTGCGGGCGGCACGGAAGAGGACCATGATGACTTCAACGACAATGATAGCGACATTATAGATAGTCCCGGTCCCACCGCAGATTTCCAGAATAACAAAATCAGGAAAGCTCTTGGTAGGGAGCCAGAAAACAGTGCTTATGAGAATGAAAGACTCAGACAAGAAGAAGCGGAGTATGTCGCCCGTAATCTCGGGTTCTCGCAAGCACAGCCTTCAAATTACCGCGGTCTGGTGCTGAAGAAGGCGAACAAAAAGCCTAGCAAGCAGTCCTTGCGACATCGCGAGAGCAGAGAGACAATGTTCTCCGAGGATAGCGTGATCTCCGAAGAAAGCCACACGACCCCTCGGCATAACTCTAGGTTTTCCATGTCCACTGCGACAGATATGGACCCTACCACGCCCTTCATGGATACTGGCTTCGAAGACCACGACTACTTTGATAACTCGAAAACCCCCCAGCCAAACTCTAGTCGCAACCTGCTTCTCCGGGGCACAGCGCCAGCGTCTGCAACACGGACTAAGTTCGTATCCACCGAGCTTGTCATGCCTATGCCACAACATCCAACTCCTCTATCACCTACAATGGAACGCTTCTTATCAAGAATGTCCGAAGTTATAACCTCTCCGCTTAGTGCGACGTTCCCTGAGGAGATCCCTGGTGTCGCTCCAGATCCAGCTACTCCTGCACCCACAAAGACAGAGTTCAAAATTCCGTCTCACGTCATCGATGTCAACTTGGTTTCCGTCGTAGCTATGGATTTTAGCCCTCAGCAAATGATCGATATCAGTGGGAACACGGCGTTGGTGCAGCAAGAATGTGACCCGATTGCAGAGCCAAAACACTCTAATGGCGGTAGCACACAGCAAATAATGTATATAATCCCCATTTTGCTTAATGACCCTGCCAGTTTCTGCGCCTGTGATAAGGCACATGTCGAAAGCGACACTGCGTCAGTGGCATCGGCCACAAGGTCTGCTATTCACCCAAGCAACATCCTCAGATTCGAAAATGTCATCGTTCAGATGAGGTTAGCGCCCCGACCCCGCATCCGTCGGCATGGCTGGACATTCCTCAATATTGGTATTCCTACCCGGATTGTCGTTGGAATTCTCGATCATTTGGAGAAAGAGCTAGTAAGTGTGGGCAAATGCAAGATGGTTCTACATGGCGACTACTACTGGATTTACACACCGGTTCGAGCGTTCACCAAAGTCTACAAACGAGAATACATAACATCTCCAAGGGGTGGTGATATTCCTTCCCGGACGAACTCGAAGACTCCGAAGACGGCTGCGGATCTAGAATCTCTCCGAGAAGAGGATGAAGAAGACGATGACAATAGTGTTATAGACGATTCTGGAGATGAAGAGGAGGAGGAGCGTCAAACAATCTACAAAGAGCTTCCAGATTCAAGGTTTTACTCTTTGCTAGAAACAAGGTCACTCTCTGTGGACTTGTACACTGAGATCTACGCCAAGTCCAATGCAGAATATCCTCTTGACTCCCCAGCACAAGGCGACTTCTCCCTCGGATTCTCGATAAGAGAGATTATCGTCACCGCAGAAAGCAACGTCCGTGGCCCAGACTGGAGCCACGTCAAGTCCCAGCGCAGCAAATGTCTCGCTAGAGGCCATCCTGCGGATATGGTCAGCCCGATCTCTGGTGTCAACAGAAGCGTTGTCGGGTCCCCATTCAATCCTGGTGCCGTCAACAATCACGCAATAAACACGTGGAACAGTAATGTCACTGCTGGTTCTGTACGTAGTGCTAGCAATCTGGGGAATCTGATAGACCGTTGGGACCCCAATTCTACACCCGTTAACCGGACGGATCCGAATGCGACCCCTGTCGCTCGCTCGGCCGCGAATGGGAGTGTTGCCAATGGCTATGATTACGCTTCCATAGCGAGGTACGGCTCACGAGGGGCTACAGCAACACCTGGTGCGTGTAGTCATTGTGGAAGCCATGTGCCAGATGGGGTCGCCAGTCCGCTTTCTGCAGTTGCTACAAGCCCTATCACCAACAATGGAAGATTCGATAAAAGGAGCAATTCATCGCTTAGCACAGCATACCGCAGCCAGAGTTTAAACCGGATTAGAGAAGACGGCAGGCAAAGCAGCCGCGGTTATAAGGTGGTAGATAACGACGTTCAACACTCAAGAACAAATAGCAGGAACCGTAATGATGATGTTAGGAGCGGAAGCAAGGTTCGAAGCAGAAGCCAATTGAGTCGGCGAGATCATAAGGATGGACGCCATAGCGCTGGTAGACGGAGGGAGGATAGAAGCCAGAGCAGGGATCGGACGATCGAGCGGGACGCTGCATCTACTCCGAAGGCGCCCCAAACAACTTCCACGACGTACGATAGCGATAATTGGGTGGTAAAAGACAAATCAAATGCTCCTATAGAGGAAGCGACACCCGAGAAATCAAAGAAACGCTGGGGCCGGAAGAAGAAGTACGTCGAGTAAAGCTCTACGCTATCAGCGAAAAATTCATCGAGTTCCGGCCGAGGCCCTATCACATAACAAATCCTGCAAGCTGTATAAAGGACACTGGTCTGAACGTAAGAGTAGGAGGGTTCTTTTCACTCATTTTCCTTTTTTCTTCCAATGCATTTTCCAATTATCTTTTTTTTTTTGCAATCATGTATGCATAGGAGTTGTCCTTCATGGTCAGATCATTTGTCTCCACGATTTCCTCACATTTAGCTAGCACGTCAACGAAATTTAAACCGGGTCTTCTATCGCATCTATTAGACTTATTGAGTTCTTTGTATTTACGAACCAACTAATCTACCGCTGTGCCATACAGGAAACAGGTGGTCCCAGACAGCCAACCATCGATTGTATCCAGCGGATAACATGGAACAGGCATGCACACGGTATTACTGCCAAGTGGTTCCCGTGGAGTTCATGACAGAACCTCATATGGAACCTCTGGAACTGAAACAGAAAGAACTAAAGCAAGAAAAACAAGAAGTCAAAAGAACCGATCCAAAACTAATGAATCCCAGACCGGAATATCCCAAAGTACCCAAGTAAAAAAGAAAAGTCGTCACAGAAGCTCCACATCGAGAACAGCATCAATACTCTTCTTCAAGGTGGCTAAGCAATACTCATGAGCTCATCGAACTATACCAAAACCCTTCTTCTCAACATCAATTGCGCTGACAATGTACCCATTACAAAATTGAAAACCCCCATAACTTTAATGAGAATCGTTGCTCAATACTTCAACTTCCACCAAAGAATCGTGCTGGCGATAATAAAGACCGGCGCGACACTCACAGCCTCACCAACACCGGCGTATTGTGGTGCAAGAGTCCATGGAATAATACCAGTTGAAATCAAAACCGCTCCTAAGTTATACTTCAACGCCCATGAGAAATTGCACTTAATGAGCCTTGTGGCTCTCTTACTTAGTGCGAGAAGCGCGAGAACACCCGTAAGGGACGACGACAAAATTCCTGCGTCTGCACATCCAGCGGCGATATCAGTACAGTTGCTCATCGTCACGCCAATATCCGCCCGGGTAAGTGCAGCTGCATCGTTCGTTCCGTCCCCGAGAAACAAAACATATCGCTGCCTTGTGCGAAACCTGTTGAGAACTCGACGAATGAAATGGCCGCGAAGCTGAAGGATATCGACATCCATTTGAGCCCTTGTTTGAAGAAGTCGAATCCGCTGTGCTTTGTCTTCCGGTGAACATTCCCCGTAGACGTTTTCTGGTGGTATTCCGATTGCTTCGGCGACTTGTTTACAAACCGCTAATTGGTCACCGCTAAGCATAAAACATTCAATATTTTGAGCCTGGAGTTTCGAAATAACCGATGCTGCTTCGGGTCTGATCGTATCAGAAAGTCCAAACACCGCAAGGATATTGCTATTCCTCACGTCAACGACAACAAAAGGCGTACGGGCGTCGTCTTCAACGACAGTTCGGAAAACCGCCTTGCTGAAGTTTTTGATGTTATCCGTGAGAACCCAAGAGGGTTTACCACCTCTTACTCGTCTACCCTTAACAGTCCCTTCTATTCCTTTCCCGACAATAGACCTGATATTTTTTTCAGTGTCCGAAAGTTGTAGCTCTTTGGTATGATATTCTTTCAACTTATCAAGGACTGCTTTAGAAACCGGATGTCTATCCCGTGCAATCAACTTGTAGATAAGATGTTGGACCTCCCGAACATCCTTATCTCCAGTATCACCAACCCATTGACCGCGCACCCAATACTTTTCCGCAGCGACTTGGAGCCTCCCAGTTGTCAAGGTTCCTGTTTTATCCGCAACAAAGTATCGAACTTTCCTGGCCTTTTCAAGCGATTCGGGAGACTTGATAACAATTCCACACTTTACGCCGACCTGGGTAGCGAAGATCAGGACAGTCGGAACAGCCAAGGCAATAGCACAGGGACACGAAATTGCTAAAACAGTGATCGCGATTGTTAACGCTTTGGCGAATGCTGCGCTAAGGTCTTCAGTGTGCCTTTTAACAGTCCTGTAGTAGCCAATCCAACCGGCAAATGCTGCCAGCGCAATAAGAAGGACGACTGGGGTCAACCAAGCCGCCACCTTGTCCGCATAGTCCTGCATCTTCGGTCTTGAGCTTGACGCCGCGGTCACGAGCCTTTTCATGGACGATATCGTATTTTCTGGTATCAATCTGGTGACGCGGTATTCAAGTCTGCCCTCAATAACTTTTGAGCCTGCGATGACAGTGCTGCCTCTTTGATGCTGAGCAGGCTCTGATTCGCCCGTAAGATGGCTCTCATCCACCGTGGCATCCCCGTTAATGACGACTCCATCGGTAACTACAATGTCCCCAGTTTGTGCAAGAAGTACATCGCCATAGTGCAGAAGCCGCACATCCTCAGTTTTCCAACGACGATTGCGGATCGGTCTGAACGTATATTGAGTACTGCGAGTGCAGACATTAACTTGAAGAGTACCGACGGAAATGCAGTTGGCAGCCCAGTGTCGAATATAACCGGTTAGTAGACGCCCAGCCAATATTAACGTTATCAACAAACTACTAGCTTCAAAACTAGGTTCGTGTCGTTCGGATTCCGCGTCGTCAAGAGGCTGACCAGAGTCAAGCTTTAATAGTTCGCGAGACAAGTTCATCCCCCAGAAAGCAACAGAATAAACAAAGGCCGCCGTAGTTGAGAGTGTGATCAGACAGTCCATATCTAGCCGATGTTGGAAAAAGATCGAACGAAAAGCATTAAGGTAGATCCCTTTAGCAAGTGTTTGGACGATAGCAGCAAGGACAAAACAAATGATCTGAAGAATGATAAAACTCTTCAAATGAGAAGGATTTACGTCTGACGCGGCAGGTACCTGGCTTTTGATACTTGGGGTCCAAGTGATCAACAAGATCGGGAAAGTCAGGACAAAAGCTACTATAGTAAGCCAAAACATCTTCCTTAGTTCTTTACGAGCTTGCTGATCCGCAATTTTATCGATGTCATCGATGTCGAAGAGCTCAACACTGTGGTTGCCCTGAGGAGACGTCTTCATATATTGTAGGAGATTTCGTATCTGCAGTTGTTGTGGGTCATATTTGACTTCAAAAACCATCCAATCTCTTCCAACGAGACCCTTTTCTAGATCAGGTTCCGGGTTTTGATTTCTCTTAAAGGCTCTGTCCCCTAGCCTTCTACAGAGGGGCACCAACCCTAGTTCTTCGCAAGTAAGTTCCCCAACCCGGTTAACCCCCTTCAAAAGCGCAATATGATTTTGAATTGTCGTGGGATCGGAGTTCTTAGAGAGAACCAGTTTGATCAAGACAGTTTGTTCCGAGTGATTACAATTCAGTCTGTCGGTGTCTTTCAAAACTTTGCAGGTGAACCCAGTCATTCTTTTGACTACGGGGCAAATTTGTTCGGAAGGGTCTGTGATGACAGATGAGTTATACCAAATCTCAGCCTTGCCGCGCATGAAGTTTGTTTTGACACCTTTTGGACCCTTTGGAATGATACCGTCAATTTTACGAAGAGTCCTAGCAAGTTTCGTTTCGCAGGTAGTACATGTCATCCCCGTAACGCCTAAGGACAAGTATCTCAAAGTTTTTGGCGGAACAAGTGTGCCTGACTCTGATGGTAAGGACTCTAGAGAGTCTTGGAGTTCTGTTTCTAGGTCATGGTCTTCGAGGCAACAGTCCCTCGCCACGATGTGGTCTTCGCCCTTGGTTTCGCAGCAGGTGTGTGCAACTGGTGTAGTTTCAAAGATGAGAGCAAGGATTCCCTTGATCCATATGCATGCGCACTTAAGTTCGCTTTTAGCTAGCTTTCCTCTAATGAACTCCCGATGGAAGTCACAAGGACCTTTTAAACTAGCTATTTGGAAATGGTGATGATGCCCAGTGACTAGGGCATGTGGAAGTTGTAGAACAGCCCCCCTGAGGGACTCGGGGACTCGGGTGTCGACAATGTCTTCATGGCAATACCGTTTCCCGGCATCAGAGGATGAGATGTCAATGCTGTCATTGACATGTGTTCCCTCGGTACTAGAGCTGAATTCTAAGCTCTGGTCAGAACCATCATTGTTGTGATGTTTGTTGTGATGGCTATGACTGTGATCATGATCACTACAATCGGGGTCGTCATGTTCATGTGGGTAGTCTTTCCAGTAATTAGCTTGGAGATATTCATTATCCTCAAAGAAATTTGGATAATACACACTATCGTCCGATTCGTGACTATGATGACTCTGACAACTGCTACTACAGCTAGACTCAGTGCTTTTTTCACTGATAAAACTCATGTCATTTGATGAGCTATCAGCAATCGCCCGCTCATGTTCTGCGTGCGACGTGAACGGAATATTAGTCGGTCCCGTGGTGTCTTGTATTTTGTATTTGCAGACAACAGCCGCGACTAGGTTCCAGCAGGCGTCTAGTAATGTTCCGACCAATCAGTCATACTTGTAGTTATGGTCAAATTATATAAGGATATAAGCATACCAGAACATTTGCATGTTAGGCTGCCGCCGTCTTTTGTTCCATGGCAACATTCAACTTTGCTAAGATCCAACCCCGAGAAATCTTGAATAGCGGATTCCAAGAAAATAGTAGCAAGTTTAGAGCGAAGCTAGATCGTGATACTGTTATTAGTGCCTTATAAGATCCCTACCTAAGTTGGAGAGTTTCATCAAAGGTTCAAGCTCACCTGTTCGAGCGCAGCAGCGTGTTTATCTCTAGTCTTGGTAGCCATTGTCGTATAGAAAGTCCCATTCGAGACTGAATAACTAGCTCTGGCGGGCTTAGACTGGTAAGTAGCTATGGAGATGAAGAGAGAAAGAGATTTCAGAATCTTCCGGCCCATCACCTCCAATGCTTCCCTAGCCCCAGACCATCCCATATTTATCGTATATTTAGTCACAAAGAGTGGTATAGGATCTGAGACAGGTTTCTACTAGCGACTCTGCTCAAGGCGGGCACTGGGATGTGTCGTCATAAATGTGATTATTGGAGAAAATATATATTTATAAATTTATATTAGACTTTCGACAATACTGAGGGATTGACTGATGAGACGCCGATGAACTAGCTGTAAAGTTGTAATTGTATGTGTCAATCCCGGCCACCTCAAATTCAACAAATATGGCATGAAGAAACATATTACTAGACCCGAAAATTTTGTATAGCTGAATTTCGGGACGAAGCAAATTTATAAAAGAAAAACAGGCTACGTTACTGTCCAGGTGTGTGTATAAGCGCTCTTACGGGTAGTTGCCGTCGCCGTAGGCTAAAAGGAAACCTTCAATGATTGGGATATATTGCACCAACGTACTCTACAAGATAACATCATTTATACATGTACAGTCTACTGCGCCTAGAAACCAATGAACTGCTTCAATCAGCCGTAGTTCTAGGGCCTATAGATATTGTAATACCTACGTATGAATACTGCATGTGCCCCTTGCGGTCAAGCCCCGACATCCTTTGCAGTCGTCTGAATATTAATACCTGGGGCTAGTCGGTTATGTGGATCATGTGAATTCACTGAAGGGTATAGATAGGAGAGATTTCTTTTCTCTAGTACTATAGTCGTACAACTATGAGTTTACTATAAAGCCTAAATACGATGGCCTCTATGTGCATATATCTGCAATGTGCCGTCGTGTTTCGTACTACGTTACTTTGTCAGTGGTAGCACCACACCGGAACTGCACCAAACTGACGCTTTATACCTGCTATCCCTCAATCTACATATATATGGCTGCCATGCTCATGCCGGTCACACAGAACTGCAGGTTTATAAGGAAACGCACGCCATCATGCATTCAGCATCTGCAGAATATTTGTTAACTACGATGATCGGTAGCCAGCACATTTTAACTAGACAAGGGACGAATGAGATTTCCCAAGACTTCCCAGTCAATACTTTGCACTCCAGGCACCCGCCACAGTCCAAGTTATCGATGTAATAGTACATTTAACACCATTGTGTTTCAATTGCTGTTGCTCACAAGCTAATTCCAGAGTACTCAAGTTCGTGCAAATAATTGTGCTGAAAACGTGTTGTGTGGCATTTTCATATCCCTGTCAATTATCCTAAAACGGGCTGTGTCCCAATATAGAAAGCTTTCAAACACCAAACACCATTGATCGTGATCCCTCAACACTGCAACAATATCAACTCAAACTCATCAGGTGGATGAAGGGCTCTTAGCCCGAAATCGCAAAAGCTCTTATGGGTTTTAAAGCTGTTACGAGTTCAGGAAGCTCTCACAAGGTCCTTCATAGGTGCTTCAGCTGCTTTGGCAGTTAGCTTTCCAGCGCAAATATGAAACTTCGAAACGTGAGTCTAGGCAATAATAACCTGTGGGCTCACAGCAAACCAACAACCTTCTGCAGGTTTACAGGTACGACTATAGAGACCAGTCTGAGAGATGCAAACTTGGGCGTCGTAACCTGCAGGATTCCAATTTCAAAGCGCTCAGCGTCTATATATATATATAAATCTATCGATCAGGATGTTTCGGCTTCTCGTGCTTACTATGGTAATTGAACTATATAATCACGCTTCTATCGACACGCATTCTTTGAGATCATATCCTTTACATGCTTACATTCAAGGCCAGTCCGAAGTCTTCGATTTTCTGTAGATTGAATCTTTAATATACCAACTTATCCTACGCCTCCGATTCCTAGATATTTCTTGGGATACCTTAGTGCTTGTCAGGACCTTGCAACAAACGATCCGAAGCTACATTTTCGCCTCATCCAGCATCTATACGATGGCAACCACCAGTAAATGTCCGGAGATCGGGGTCAAGAAAAGCCGCCAGTCACATAACAACAAAGTTCCGCCAGATGCACCTAGGAGAAACTTGAGTTCTTTCGTTATATTCGCCAATACCCGACGGAAAGAACTGAAGGCCCTCTACCCAGACCGGCCCTACCCTGCAATTCAGTCAGATATATCTGTAGAGTGGGAGAAAATGAACGACGAAGGCAAAGAGCATTGGAAGAAACTCATGGCACTTGATAAAGAGAGATATAAGAGAGAAATGGAGCTGTATCGCAAATATGGTTCGAACTGGGTTTGGGTTGTTGGACACCAGAAAAGGAAAGAGTTAGGGCTTACTGTCGAAGATTGTACGAAATTTGAATTCCTACCTTCAACCAAGGAACAAGGTAGAAATTCAAGGTTGCCGCAAAGTCGAACCGATCCCGAAGATGGGCGCTTCACAGAAAAGAAACGACATCACAACGATCAGGTTCAGGATGTTCGACAAAATGACAATCATGCGAACATAGTCGGAATTGCCAGTTCGCTCTCGATGTCAGCGCAGCCTATCATTTCTTCAAGCCAGAATGCAGGAGACTACAATCTGAATACGGAGTTTTATGGAATTTCTGCTTCAAGTCCGCCTGGAGGTCGGGATATCTCGGATAATGGCTCTCAAAGCATGGGTGACTTGGCCATTTTGGGACTCGTAGACGTTTTCTCGCCGACAGTATTCGACGGATTTGGTTTGGACATGCCATGGAGCGAAACATGCGAGTGGTACGACCAGTAGCAAGTATTATATATTGATTTCAACTAAGTCTTTGTAGTAGTTTAAGCGGTGGGTTTGTTTGCACACGTGTATCAATATTTCTCATTTTAAATCCGTTAGCAGAACAATTTGATACCCAGCTAAGAAGATGTAGTTTAAGGTATCTCGTGGTAGTCATAGAACAATACTCGGAGAGTCAGCTTGTAGAACTCATAGCTGAAATCGGGTTCGCTTTTTGTAAATAGAATACGAATAATAGCGCATACCTAGGTATATGTATGCATGTCCAAAATTTCGTAGTAACCGGAAGAGGCATGTACCAAAACTATTGCAAACTTCAGGACTACAAACTAGAGGTGTGTTCTTATCAGGGCAGGGAAATTGAAAGCTTCTACATAATATAGATCTAGGGAACACCGCCTGGGGCGGGCATTGTAGCTTGTAGTAGGTTCTATACTTTTAGGGCCCCTTCGAAGCTTCGAGTTTGAAAGAGGCCTTGACCAATGAAACTAACCTTGATTGATTCGCTCCTCTTCAAACAAACTCAGCATCCTGGCATCCTAGGCTTTAATATTGTTAAATACTGCATCTAATATTTAACCTAGACCATACTATTGTTTTCTCGCGTCCAGACCCGTTCGATAGCACCGATCGTACTCAATAAAGAGCATTGAATTCAGTCCATGCCACTAGCCGAATAGCGCATCGATGCATTTATAACTCTGCTCAACTCGTTTGGATAGCTAATATAGCCTGAGTCTAACAAAGGCGGCCATTCTTGTTGGAAGTTTGACCTTCAGAACAAAACCAACAACCTTAATTCCTTACGCTTGAGACAAAGTTAACTGTTCGTTAGTTTGCAATCTTCTTTGTTCTGAAGGCTGTGGGAAAGCATGGTTCCGCTTTGAGGGTGGGGTAAGGCACGAGTTCATCTACCACGACGGTGTCGCACAGATGTATTATATGCGCACTGTGTTCATTCGCGAGCTCGCGTTCGTAAGTTCATTTATAATATCCGATTCTTACTATAATGTAGAATGCAATCATACACACGAGTGAACAGTCTCACCGTTCCATACTTAATTACACAGAATAAGGTCTAAAGTTAGTCAGAATATCAGAATAGCATAATTCTGAAATACTAAGGGTAATCGTACAATAAAGCTCAAGTTATAACTCTGAGGGAGTCTAATTGCTACTCTGAGGTCAAGTTGCAACATTCTTTCGCTTTAATTATTACTAACTTCCTATGTATTTAGTAGCTAAGCAAACCTCTAGATCTTGAGATCAATGGAATATCCTTGGAGGCGAGATCGTTCCTCTTCTTGCCCTGAAATTAGCAGCTATGAAAATCATCGATCACGAGTAGGGCCGGGACTTCCAATTTGGGACTTACAATTGGCGGGCTTCCGACCCCGATTGATTGATTTCGAAACTGAATGCGATTTCGAGCCTGTCAATACCCCAGTCCATCGCAACATCGATTCAAGAAGAAGCTCTTGGACTTGTTTTCCAGACGACTCACCAACCCGAGCAAGTTCTATCAGCTCTTCAATCCCAAGCAATGATGAGGATGTTAATGACGATTCTGACGATTTTCATTACACCGGCAATGATGGCCATGAATCATATGATAACGCGTTTGAACTACACCATAACACTCAGCGTCACATGATCGAGCTTCGATCAGGGCAGCAATACCCAAGACCGGTTCAGATTGGGCTTCGAGTCTTCACTGGAAAAAAAGGAGTAGATACACCCTTCGGAACGAGAATCATCCGAAATACACCAAAACCAACAGCAACCACTCAAAAGCCATCGATTCCAATAGAATCGATAGCAACTTCAGTGGAATTTACATCTAAATCCCTGGGGAAGGGGAGACCACCACAGCAGACCCAGGACAAGGACGAGAACCCAAAAGTCGACGATACCCGGCGAGCAGCCAAAGTGACCATCCAGAGACAGAATTTTCTAGTGACTATTCGCAATTTTTTTCAATGGAGCCGAGATAACAATTCAGTTGTACTATTTATTCTCCTAAGTTGGCTTACCATGTTTATTCTTGCACAAACAAAAATACTACGAGTCGATACCTGGGAGCTTTTAGGTACACAACAGGGGCAAAAAGATCAACGGGTTTACCCCTCTGCAGGTTTGTGGAAGCAGATTGTGAATTCAAATTTAAAAACGGACTTACAATTGTAAACTGACTCGTCTGACTTGCGAAGCTAGATAGTGATTGGAGGCCCGATCCAAAATCCATAGTCGACCTTTTCTTTTCCAAAAATTCTTCGCAAACGATCCTGGACGCCAAAATAATATACCATTTGGAAAGCATTGGGGAACGGCAGGGACGATTGTACGACAAATTACAGAGCCAACTCAACAGTAATGCGATAGTCTTAGATTTTATGCTACAAGAAATGCGAAATCTCAAATCTGCTTTTTCTGCGATTGCGGATAGAAGGAAAATAGAGAGGCAAATAGATAAATTAAAAGACGATATCAAACAGTGCAACCAAGATATGCTTTCAAGAACCACGCACAGCCCGATAATTATAAAACAAAGGCCGACCTACACAGTTACCAAGATGACGAAAACTGTCATCAGGCAGCACTATATAACTCCTCGCTCGCAGCATACGGTGTCTACAAAAGTCATATTTTACCCGCAGGACCGTATGAAGCTACAGCAAACAAACCAGCGAGATGGGACATCAGTAATATAGCATTTCATTGACGTATTGTATTACAGGTTGAAAATGTGAAAGCTAACAAATACTTTAGGGTACCAGCGCCCCTTTCTTAACGGATAAAGATGTAGATAAGATTGCACAAAGATTTGTGCAACTCATCAATTCAGCTAGTAAGGGAGGTAACCCCGGTAGTCCTTGGTGGGATGTTTTCCCTTCATCCTCTGGCGTAGGGAAAGGGACTGAAAGGAGACTTACGAAACAACTTGAATCGATAGTCCAGCTTTTCTGTCCTGAGGAGTCCGGGCTATCGGCGGATTCGCTCGCTTTTCGAACACGGAAATGCTTCAAACGCAGACAATCAGGAGCCTCGGATTTGCAGCCTAGAGTACGTTGTATACGCGTTTGAATATTTGGATTTTAGGATGCTGGTTAGTCTCGGAGAAGAACCAAAAAACTAACTTACCACATAGACCCAATCGACGGTTCCAAATCGGATCCTTTCTACTGTCGTCAAGTTTTCAGATGATCTTCCACCAATTGGGCTTTCGATCATATGCGGGGCTATCATTCTATTCTACGGTCCTCCTTTTACGAGATGGATCGGGAAAATTTATGGGGATAATAGAACCAAAAAGACCTTACGCAGTTTGACCATATGCATCAGTGTCTTAGGCGTCATAATCTGGCCGACCAGATTGGCCACGATTTGGATACGATACCAGGAACAATTGAAGCCCCTTCGAAGATTGCCATGGGAATCCGGGTTATTAGCAGCCGCCAGGTGTTATCTTGTAGCCGTTTTAGAAAAGATACCAAGATGGCTTCCATACCCCTTGCAAGACTGGTGGCAATCACTTGACCTAATAGGGAGGCTTCAGTCCGGGTCCGGGGTGCACATTAATCGTAGTAGCAAGGTTCAATATTTCCTCCGGAGAGCCGGAAGCTTCGGTCGCTATATAACTCTTCGGGGCATTGAAAACATAGTATGGATTAGTGTTCCATACATTGTTATAAAATGTTCAGTCTTATTGGCAATTTTTGTCTTTGCCACACGAGGCTTGCCAGCGATCAGATCTAGAGCTGAGAAAATTAGGTTATGGATATCGAGATCCCAAAAATATGTTCTCGCGGTTCCCAAGCAAACATCTAATTTCTGGCAAAGGAGTCGATCTTTGTTCACCAAGGAATGCATTATCGGGCTGCCACAGCTTCTAAGAATTCTTTTCAAGCAAACCATTAATAGTACATGGCTCAAATTTTCACGATCCTTTCGACAGAAAGGGAGGACTGCACCGCAATGGGCTTGGAAAATCGGTGGAATCGGCGTTTCCGTATTGAGATTATCTTGGAACAATAATACCGTACTCACGCTCATCAGAAACCTTGAAACGGCACGGGTTTATGCGTTTAAAACCTGGGGATCCATTCGAAATTTGATATCAACAACTTGGAATCGGTATCGTCCGTTACGTACGCATGGACTGAGGCAATGGGGAACAAACTGTTGGGCTTTGCTCCAAGCCCCTTTTTTCGAGGCTGGGAAGTGTTCTCTTCAGGGTGGGGTATTTGGATTTCTATGGGCTATGAGAAAGATCTGTGGGTGCATCTGCGAGTGGACCTTGAATCTGGCTCAGACTATGCGTGAGAATGGGGCTCGAGCATTGGAACGAATGATAGGCTAAGAAGTCTTGGATACGCGGGATGCAAAAAGCGACCATTCCAGCGCCCGGACCCTCGGGTTTCTGGAAACCACACGGCGGTGGGCTTGGAGAACTATTTCGGCTGTGCAGGCTCGATCGTTTTTGGAAAATCATCCAAAGTTGGTAATGGGGGAGGTATCGAGAGATCCCCGGCTAGGGCCAGAGGAGCTTGTAACGTTTACATGTGTAGCGTAACCCATATACCTGTATTATATAGTATTCTAGATAATTAACCTACTGATGAAACCAACATGCTTGCCCGAAAAATTTTGTCTTATTATATTATCGCAATACATCTTAGCTACTTAAGTACATGCTACAGGTATCCTTTTATAGGTAGAGATATATGTATTAGACATGCATGGTCATGATCATGTTGGAAGTTGTGGTTAGTGTTGTGTTGGCTATCGATTAAATTAAATCATGATATCTGTTCGAGCTGTGAACGAGAACCAACTTTAGGAGACCACGAGAAGCCCTTAAAATTAGAAAAAAAGTTTGTAGGCAACTTTTTCTTTCTTTTTTTCCCTTTCTCTTCGACCCCTCCCCCTCTCTCTCGGGATCGAAATAGCTAACGGCTTCATTACTTTAACGAAGTTAAGTTAGACCGCAAGATTAACCGAACTAACCAAGCCAAGTGACGCGGAGCGGGTCGACTAGCTAGTCGAGCTCGAGCCGTGTAAACATAGTATCTATACGTATATACAGTTAATCGATCTTGAAATGCGCTTTTCCAGGAAACTCAAACTAAGCAGGTATTCGGGATTAATTAACAGCAGCTGTCAACTGATCAGAAGGCACATGCCTGGCTATAGCGCTAGCCATGGCTTGGCCGCTTTAAGCCTAACTCAATACCTGTACCATGGTTCTGGGAAATAACCCCGGCGATGGTGTCTCTCCTTAATTGGCTGCCGCAAATGAGAAGCCACCTAATTTTAGCTTGCAGAGGATCGCGCGCGCTTACAATTGGGCACCTTAGTGGGTGGGTCGAGGCACCATAACCCCAACCTTGGAATCGAACAAACCACCATCTGTTGAGCCTCCGGGACATACTCGAGCCACTCAGAGGCAGCCTTGGGAAATGGAGTCCGCCCACCAGCGCGAAGACCCCGCTCTGCCGTCTGTCTGACACTCAGGGGTGATAGATTCTCGAAATCCTTTGGCTCCAACGTTAACTCCAACGTACTCCATGTATCATGCATGTAGCTCTGCACAGTAGCATGTATGAGCTGGTACACTTCGGCCAATGTACCATGATTTTTCCAACCGAACTCTCATATCTGGCAGGCAGGTTACCCCGAGAGCGCGGACTTTCGAAGCTACACCTACCTTTCGATGCCAAATAAAGGACATCTCATCCTGTCCCGTACCGTCAAACTACTACTGTCCCCTTGCAAGTTCATTAACAGCGCTTGGGAGGCTGGTCAAGGGCTCCACCCTGTATGCAAGCAGATGCATGGCACAAAGGCCGAAAATTAGCAGCAAGCACAACTACTTACGTTCAGTCACCAGACAAACACCACAGGACTCACTTGGTACTAGCCGGAACTTATAAAGTAGTGAGATATCCGCCTCACGAATCTATCGTTTTAGATTTGTTGCAGCATCTCTGACAACAGATCTGCCACCACTCCGTTAGCTTGCGCTATGCGGGTTTGGAGCTCAGAAGAGACAAGCGTACAAAGGTTGTGATCCCGATCAACCGTTTGCTTCGTAGCTTGCGATCCTGTAGCTTTTATAATATATCTGCGACGTACGGACGCAAGGAAGGATTCTCGACATCCTACCTCTTAAGATGGCTCGGCCGATATTATCCAACACGCCCACCGCCGTCAATCCGTATAACGTCTCATCTTTAACATTCGATGTGGGGCCGTTGACCGATTTTTCAAATGATTGGGCCTTACGGCAAAAAGAATGGCCAAATTTTCTACCGAATACCGCAAGTTCGCCTTCCAAGAAATTCGCCTTCTATAAAGAGATCAGTGTCGATAGTAACCCTTACCTCTGTTTCCAAAATGTTATCATTCAGAAAGCTCCAAACTCAGGATCGTTGTCGGGGTCAGGGGAAGCAGGCGAGACCGCAGGAACCAGAAATGGTTCCAGATACGGGTATGGATGACCCATTGGTATGCATAATATAGTACTTTGTTAATACTAAGACCCAATAGACGCGATTTTTTCAGTCTAGGAATCCCGGTTCGTGTTATGGTAGAAATGGTTCACCAGCTCACCAAAGTACACTCTATACCGTTTGGATCCTGTCGGTCGACCTTAAAAGGTGACCACTTTTGGATAATCGCGCGACCGCCACCCGCTTACCCCCCTCAGCTTGTCGATGTAAGTTTACTCAAATCTGAATCCTTCCGGGAAACCCATCTAAATATTGAAATAGGAGGATATGGAGAGCTTTTTCTTGCAGTGGGATGAGTTTGTGAAGACTGATTTAAAAAGCGCCAGTTGGATGTGCCATGTTATCGGTCAAGCTCGTGTAAGAAGCGAAAGCAACTGTGATCTTGAGAGAGAAGATCACAGTGGCGATGAGTCCGTGAAAGGAAAGAGCAGTGGGTTATCATCCCGACGGAGGAAAGGGCCACCTAGTCCGCTTTCCCACGGAGATTTTTCCCTTGGTATAACGGTCCAAAAAATTGTTCTACTTGAGAAGGTCCTCGTAGAGGCACCGACCGTCGCCGAGATGGCAGAGCAGAGACATGTGTGCTTCCTCAAAGGCCATGAGGAGCTAGTACCTAGGTCGCCTACTGGCACTAGTAGTAGCCAAGAGTCCTTTACTTCACGGTTCAGCCAGGCTACCAAAAGCAGGTATGTGAAAAAAAAACCCGCTGCTGGATCCGTACCGCTTACAACTCTCCTTAGATGGCAATCCATACGGCGATCAATATCTAGGTCTAGCTCGAGGGCTTCACGGATATTTTCCCCATCTCGCTCAGCTTCAAGACAAAGCCGAAGGCATTCAATAATAACACCACTTTAACCTCTTAAAGGGTGCTGGTGTACAAACTGATCCCAGAAACCACGGCAGTTCCGAATTCAACCCCCATTTTCATATCTTCTTATAGGTCTCTTCGATGAATATTCCTTTATTTCAAAACTTCAATGGTTTAGGCTGATATGCCGGCCCATTTATTGGGCACAACATGCTCCTGATATTTCGAACATTATAAAAGCCATAAGTATATGGTTCCAATCAAGTCATTTGACAATGTATATAAGCAAGTGCTGGTATTTCAAAAGGCTTTCTGTATATATTTATATATTCTTAGAACAACTAGGTTAGGGCGGGACGGTGGGTGCAAAGACAATGATAGTATATTTACTTGAATCAGTGATATCATGACCAATCCTACGGCCTACATTGGTATCATTTTTAACTCCTCAAGCGTCCAGTACTTTCGCATATTTTCCGCCCCGAGTTGTTGAACTTCTTCGTCCAGATGCTGCCATAGCACCTTTTCAAACGACTCCATTAGTTCTAGCATATCAGATGCAACAAAGTCCTTCTCGCCACTTTTGCATGCGTTCACATAATCCTCGAACTTATCAAGACCCTGCAAATAGTTAGCACCTAGTATTGACAGGAACAAATTTTCGCATACCTTGTGTATCTGGCGGTGATGAGCAATCATCTCCCCATGCTCCTTATTGTGTTTCTGGAAGGCAGGCACTATGCAAGGCTTGGTTAACTGATGCATCTAAAACGATAAGAAGAATACTCTGCCTGAACGAACTTTTTTTGGCGAGAATGGGGAAGAAGTAGCTTTCTTCTATATTGTGGTGGGCATCTGAGGCGAGAATTAGAAACCACCCCAAAGATCTCGAAGGAAGTCATGAACCTAAAATGCGTACCTAACATCCGGCAGAACCCTTGTGCAATGCTAAGAAATTGACGAAGTGACTAGTTTAAAGTACTGTGAGCAGGGTGCAGTACGGTAACAACCTCTAGGGGTAGAAATACCTGGTTCTTCGGCCGCGATTTCCTTAAACCTGTGATAATCTCTGTCCATGTTGCGCGGAAATGGTTGTGCTGCGCATGATTCGATTCAAAGTCAAAATTAGCATGGGCCAGGCTTGAGTTTCGGGCTACCATGGTTTACGAGACCAGGCTACCACCAGTCTTGTTTCTAGACCAGCATAGGGCCTATGGTAGACTGGTGACTCTTACATATTGATCCATGACAACCGCTAATCTATTATACGCTTTGAACTCTGCAGCTGTCAGCTTTGGTAGCGGCTTCTCAGCTTCGACCTTCTGACTGGATTCCGCTTGAACAGGAGGCTCCTTCACATCCTTAGAGGCTGAAGTCGCATTGAGAATCTCAGCGTTATCCTCAGCAGCCCCCATGGTCTGATCACAGAATTTATTATCGTCCGACATCTCCGCCCTCGATATTTTTGTTTGAATCTGGTTCCCAGAATAACTAGGCAAAGATAAACCGACCCTAATGCTAGCTGGTCTTGACGACGTGACAGGTAAGATTTGAAGTAGTGTTGTATTTTGTGTGTTGCCAGGAATTCGAAAGGCCCAAGATTTCTTTAAAACCAACGATCTCCAAAGCCGCATTTAGTATCAGTTGATGCCAAAGTGGAAAATGTAAATTCAGCCAAGCGGTTGAGGTAAGCCAGGGCCCCGATTCCTTTATATATCCGGAGGGCCCTGACAAATATTCCGCTGTTCTAGTTTTCTTGAGTTTTCCGCTCGTGCAAGCCCGCTGATCTCGTGACACAACATCGCCGCAATTTGAGGCACCTCGGCCGAAACCACTGGGCTGGCTCTCGGCCATAAGACCGATAACGTGAAAAGTAATAAACACATAGCCAAGCTATGACTTATTCATATTATAACCATATTGGAATACTCTATAATGGAGCCTATAGTATGGGGGGCATAATTTTTCGGCCTGGACACCATTGCAATACACCTAGTCCTGATTAAATTCTCAACGAGTGATAAGTTCATTTCATCCAACCGCCAACATCAAATTGGGGATATAGCTCAGTTGGTAGAGCGCTTCCTTAGCGTGATCGTACAATATGGATGAGGTCCCGGGTTCAATTCCCTGTGTCTCCACTTGATTTTTTTTTTTTTTTTTTCCTTTCATTTTTGGTTTCATCCGTAATCCCCCTCGACGTACCCAAGAACGCCGATACGAAAAATTAACATCGAACAAGCCGCCACAAACGTTAAACTCAGCCTTAACATTCCTGCATCGTAGTCGCAACTGTCTTCTGGGATAGTATACCAATATGTGTTGTTTTTGTTGTAGCTCTACCCACATATCCCGAATCCACAGTCTCGTAACCAAACAACTTGTCCGGTCCCGGATCCCTGAGATTGACGTTGCTCAAGAATAGGGTTTTTCTCTCCTATCTTGCATGCGTAGTACGTAGTACGCAGTTGAATTAACATGTTTCAGGCCCACTAAGGCAGCGAGGCCAAGGTTTATGCACTACGGTCAACATGATAGATGCAGCCTGAATTTCTCATAAAATTCAGCACATCTGGCTCGAGATCAGGATCTACACTTTAACTTACCAACGCCTGAATATACCCATGATCCCCAATATGCATCGTGAAATAAGAGTAATGGAGAATTGTTGTCATACCCTTTTTCTGAGCGATGGTTTTACGGTCTATATGCATATGGTGGCCATGTGGTTTCTGAGAATCCGTGTGTATGAAAATTCGATCCCGGTTTAAGGAGTTTTCTGGTGGCTTGTGAACTTGAGCTTTTATAAAGCAATGTTGAATTACTTGTATGTAGCGCCGAAAGCTTTAGGTCTGAGGTACCATCCGATCAATGTCCTTGTGAATATAAACTCTGACGATACAAGGATCTTAGGATCTTTCACCTGCAGATACGAATGCCTACTAATTAAGTGTTTATGCAGCCTATGTAAAATAAATTCTGTGCTGATAATATACCCTTGTAGGCCGAGAACTCGGTACAAAATACGAAGTAAAGAGTCTGTTTCGCATTAGCTTTATACTGTTCGCACCTGCTAGTTTAAAGCCTGCAAACCGCTGACTCCAAACAAGCTTGTTTATACATGCTATCATGAGATTCCAACAGGGTGCAGCTACCGTCTCATCAATGCAACATTTTTACCCAAGAAAAGCTTCTTCATCTAGCTCTTTCCCCAGAATATAAACATTTCAAAGCTAGCAGTAAAAAATCGGAAATATTTTGACCCAAGCTCGTGTAATATATACAGATGCGGGGGGTCCAAATGCGATGCTTGCAAGGCGCTTGTGTATTATATCTAGAGGCCGCCGACGATCGTCTGAAGTTGTTTCGTCTCTGATATCCAACTAAATCTCACTCTCTACGGTCCTTGAGAATTCAAAGTTGTATCCAATATTTTGATCTTCTACTCCTTTTAAAATAAAATTCTGAAGGACCCTTGTTGGCCACCTAGTATCCACCAAGGCCTCAAAGTCAGTCGCCGATCAGCCGCCTAGACACAATACCACCTGCAAGGGGCTTCACCTCATTAACCTCTGAAGATAGTCTCCACGACCATAGTATAAAAGTGTGGCCTATATATGAGCTTCTTTAGCATCCAGAGAGTTGACAGTAGTCCTTGTTTCTTCAGAACCACGATTCGCCTATCCCCAAATATCTCATATTTGGAGTACCTTCTTTGAATTCTTCTCCTAGCTCAAGGCAACCTGCTTATCGGGCGTCCTTTTGATAACCATCACTCATTGAACCAGTTTTTTTGTGGCTTTACCCTCAACCTTCAAGAATATGGCTTTGAAAGCTGCTATCTTTTTCGCTGCCTTAATGGCAGCCCCATGTATTGCTTTGCCAAAGCCCATTACGACGCCCTCGGTACCATCCATTTCCGATCTACCACTGCCAGGCTCGCTTTCAGAAAAGCTCCAACAACCAGAAATCGAGATTATCAAGATGGGTGTGATCACGGAAACCCAAATCCAGAGAATCTCTTCTGAGTCTAGACATTTTTTAAAGAGACAGGATAACTCTTCCAACTCGGATGCTCAAGGCCCCTTCGCCGACCTCCCACAACTACATGGAGATACCAAGGCCAGCGGCGAGAAGTTTTCTGTAGACGGTCCTTTCTCCTACATCGAGGCATTTGTGGGGGATAAAGCTTTGAGAGGGCTCATTCTCAAGAATCTTGATGGAAAGGAGACTGTAATTGGAACGGTGCGTAGTATACTCAGGGTTATCAAGTTCGAGTTCGAGAAGGAGACATACATATTTTTAGGTATCTAACATATATATTCTACCGCTATAGGTTGAGAACTCTAAGAGTGCAAAGCGACCCGGATCATTCGAATTTGGTGATGAGGAGATTGTGACCGATTGCACCATTGACTGGAAGGAGCATTTCTTCAGCCGTGAGAAGTATGTCACTGGGTTTCACTTCGGAACCAACAAAGATCACAGGTACAATGCGACAAGTAAAAGTGGTGGTGACGAATCGGTGGCAAAGTTTGTTGGTTCAGGATACCCCGTCCGATTCCACGGGATTGTAAAAAATCTAAACAAGGAAAAGAACGCCGCCTCTGCAATAGTGGCCCTTGGAATTGAATTCCTCGACGAACTGAGGTCTATTGACATGGTGAGAGACAACGCATGTTTTCCCCAAATTGCAACAAAGTAGTCTAAATTGAAATAAACCTGTCGACTAGGTTTCTGCCGATTATGCTGGGTTTGAAGGGGGTGTATCTGCTATTCCTGATGATGGGGGTAAAAGGTATTTAATATTTTGCTCTGTTTGGTTTGGCCCAATGAGATGATTGTATACTAATGTATTGTAAATTACAGCCTCATCATGGGAACACAAATTCTCGATAATAGAAACTCAACTATCAACCAGACATTCCAATTAACCAACAGTAGGGCCGTTACAAAGAGTTTCGCTTTCACCTTCTCGGTTGCATATATGGCCGGTGCTAGTATCACCCTTGGTACTAAGCTTGCAGTTCCATTGATCACGGAAGCCACCGTCTCTGCTACAGTCCAGTGGTCATTGAGTGTTACATCCGTATGCATATTATAAATGGGAGCCAAACTGTTTTTCGCTTGTTTGCTAACGTCGCCTTTCACAGTCCACGACCCTAAGTTACTCTGAAACGATCTCCCAAGGTACATTTTTTGCCTTGACATGTCCGGCACTCAAATTCTGCCAAGGAAGGTCTGTTTTCCAAACATATGACATCGAGGTCCCCTTCGACGGCCAATTCCAGGCTACAACTCGTCGTGGCGATAAGTTTGCCTGGAATAGAAAAGGTGTCTACAAATCGTCGGATGTCTCGAATATGAAACTTCAGGTGAATGTGTGGGACGCCCCTCCAGTTGGCACTGTCGGCAAGCGCTTGTAACATGACTAGAGTCTGTATACATCTGAAATTTTGGATAGCCGGTGGCTAGATTAGTGGGCAGATACCCCGAGTATATTTTGACGTTTATTGCATGAAATTTTTCATTATGCTTATATCCACACATCGGTGGGGCTTAACTAGATACCTACCAGTTATCTAATACATTAATACCATTAGCTTTGAATTTATTGAATGTAAAGTGTATTCGGGGTATATTATATCTAGCAGTACCGCCGCAGCTTGCATCCTGGGATAACACCTAAACAAAAGTCTCCCAAGTGAACGCCGAAACTGCCTTTATATCTTTTGATCGTTAGTACCTACATATATTTGTGAAATTTCTATACGTGCAAGAATGTTAAAGCAGAATCAAGACTAGGTGTTTCGAAAATGAACACCAGCAAAGAGGTGGAATGAGAAGGCAAAAACAGTATGTAGATAAAAAAAGAAATGTATCATGCCGGACAATGTCTATGCTCTTGGCATCTGAAAGGATAGGTTCACTTCCGTCACCCACTCTCTGTTAACGGGCACCGAGTACCGAGCCTCAAGGGGAACCACTCGGAATTCGTTACCCTTAGATTTACCATCGGCTTCATCGTCCAGGGGTACCACGATCTGCTTGGATCTGAGTTTAACAACGGACCCGTCTTCATCTGTTGTTCTATAGGTGCCTTGTTTTGCTTTCATAGCGTAATATCGTCCTTGTTTCAACATCCCTTTTGGAACCCATTCAGATGATTCTTTTTGGATTTGCGAAACTTTGATGGAAGTAACTCCATGTTCGAATTTTTCTAAAAGCGCATAAAGTTAGCTTTCAAGGCGAGAAATAGCAAGAATGAATGACATACTAGCAGTGCTATCTGATTCATCCACCCAGACAAGAGTGCCGCGGGGTAGCTGGTCGTCAAAGTCAGCCGTGAGTCGGTAAGCTCTAATATTCTTCTCGGTGGCAACTATTGGTAGTGAGGAAGAACCCGAAGAAAACGGAAGATCATAAAGACTTTCTTCCTGCTCTTCATAGTTTGGCGGGTATCCTTGTTTGCTGGCTATGTCGTCTACTGAATTTTCGTGGTGACCCATGGTTGGCATTGACGCCGGGGTACCAGATGTTGATCTTGAAGGGTCTATCTCAGTTTCGATGTTCCCCCGCCTGTAACCAGGATCGTAAGACTCTGGAGATTGTACAATGTCCCGTTCATTGGTAATTGTTTCACCAGGCGCAACTTTCAAGCCGGATGAGGTAGCTGGAAGAGGTTGTGAACTACCAGTCGACAATGAACGGTGGTGTTTTGGGTTGGCTGGCCCAGGAAAAAGATACTCAACTCCAGATTTGTCCAACGCCTCTGGAGGAATAAAGACCTTCTGCAATTCTCTATCCCGTCTGATTATATCAAATGACGCCGATCTTCGAAGCTGGTGCTCGGATTCGTCCTCAGGAGTTAAAAGTCCTGGAGTAGTGTTCGCGCTCTGGGGAGTTTTACGCTCCACCTGGCTTGCAACATCAAGAGACGCTTGTCTAACCTCTTCCACTGGCTTCCTCTCGGCATCTCGGGCTTGGCTAATCTGCTTCCTAAATCTCTTCGGAATGGTCAAATCCTCAGCAGTCCACTCGCTGGGCTGTGAGGGGGTCAAAACTGCACCACCGCTGGCTGATTTAGGTTGTAGTGGGTCATCTTCTGTAACATCCTCGATCATAGGGGGCTTTGGGTCCCCCATATCGTAGAGAAACTTTTCCTCCGTTTGATTAAGAAGGTCGAGCAATTCTTCCGCATCCAAGGGCCTTGTCAACTTCTGGGTTGGGAGGGCATATTCTATCGCCGCAGTTTCCGTAACAATTCTTTGGTAATGTTCCACTGAGTAGTTTCTGGTAGTAGGGGACCTCTTCAACTGTTTCCCCCTCGTTTGTACAATAGAACGGTCATCGGAATTTTCAAGTTGAGACTGTGATTTTGGTGCTTCGAGGATGGTCTTTGGCTCTATGGAAAACCCAAACCGCTTTGCACTTTCCGTTAATCTAGCATAAAACAAATTGTCGGCTAGAGATATACATCAGCATCGCATCTATCGCATATTCGGGAACAAGCTGTCATACTTGTAGAGTCCTTGAATTGAATCCGTCCGACGCCCTCAGGCAGTTTCTCTACTTTCTGTTCACCTTGTCTAGTAGGTCGGTAGAATTCGGCGGCTCCGTTGAAAAGGTTGCCTCTTTTCAATTCAGCGAACCTCTCGAAAAAATTTGCATGCACTACAAAAGAATACCGGTTAAGAAAGGAGAATATATAAAAATTTAATCATCAATGAACTCACATGTCTGTGATAAATAACAGCTTCCATCCCGCGAACGTGCTAAGATCCTGCCTTTGCGTCGAATTTCGTCCCAGACGACAACAATTTCTACATCGTTCATAGACACATTGTTTGCGGCGGCAATATGTTCCGCGAAGAGCTTGACCATGACATGTTCATTCCTCTTCGCATGTTGGATCTTCAGAGCATGCAATTCGTTGCTCATATATCTCAGCTGTTGAATAAAATCATCCGCGGCTAGCAGGCAGAAGTTAGCAGAGGTCTCGATAAATTTGATATTCGGGATTCATACCTTCGCGCTTCTTGAACTTAAATTCCGCAACCCCAGAGACTTTCTGCAACCGGGGGGTCCGACTACGGAATCCAGCTTCACCCTTCGTCATAGTGAGGGTGACGATACAATTATCCTCACTACTGTTACTCTCGAGGTTAACCTCATCCACTACACCCTCATTCTGATTAGTTAAGGTTATAGGAACGGGTTCTAGGCTACTCACAAAGTAATTTAAGACTAATTATCTCATTATCGTCCGACCGTGCCGCTAGAAAGTGAACTAGCATCTCAACGTGTTCAGAATGTTTAAATGCATCTCGTTTGAGCGTATCCGCGATGTCTTCAACACCAATGGTCTTATAGTGAAGAAGATTTGTATGCGTAACGCCGCGTCTGACAATTGTTTCCGAAGTGCCTCTGCTATTTTCAATTCTAAAGGTAACGCTTTCGAGATAAGCTTGGAAAGAATCATCTCTACTGAGGTTAGTTCTGGTGATTTAGTCAGCGTATTTGAACAAAGGATACTCACGCCATCGAATTCAAGATTGCCACTTGTCTACCATCAACCTCACTATCCACTTCATACGCAAAATAGTTTCCCTGTTCTCCGGTTGATATTGCTTTGGCTGTCTTGAAAGCAATCGGTTCAGTAAAGGCCCTTTCAAATTTCATTTCATCTAAAATTGATTCCTGTAAGTATACCATCAAGTGCTAGGTGTTCGAATGCGGACTAGAAAGGCATACTATGCATGTTTAAATTTCTAATTCCAAGGGTAACGACTTTTCTGGCCATAGAGTCCCTGACATTGTGCAAAATCCATTGAACTTTCCCATGATAATGACAACCGATCGTACCATTGGTTACTATAAACCTTATCAGTATCGGGTCACGAATAAACACTTTAGCAGTGATCCCTACATGTAAATCTCTCCAGTTTCTGCGCATGCGGTTCGAAATCTTCATCTTCGTCCTCGAAAGGCTCGCACAGACAAGCAAAAAGACCTTCATTATATTCACCATTTTCGATCGCATTTTTCCAGTTCCCATGAAACCTCGCATGCAGACATATGGTTTCAAAGACAGCCACCCCGTCGCCAACGCGAGTCTCTAGGCAGAGCTCAAATACGCTAATAAATTTGTTAGCGTATAGTTTCGAATATGACAATTATCTCTCTTACATGTCAGTCACAGTCGCCCTTGACGCCCGTGGTGGACGGTCCTCTTCTCGAATACGTTGTTGTGCGATTTCAACGGGCTCCAAATTCATCACTGGTATGACCCGCTCTGGTTCCGTCGGAGTTGGAGATTCAAATGGCGACGGCACAAACCCATTTTTGCGGGTTGGTCGACGAGTTGGTAGCTCGACCGGTGCTATACTTATACTCGTAGATGTAACTTGCGTATAAGACCGGGGAGTTGGTCGAAAGTCTGCATTCTGGTTGTGGCTTGAAAAGTTCGGCATAGAAGAATTTGACGAAGTATAGAATGCCGTAGAGGCGGACGGGGATGAGGCCAGGTACGTCGTCGATTGTGCGAACGGGTGTGGCATTTCAAGATGGGAATCGTCCATCGGGTATGGGGGCATGCCCGCAGGCAGAGGAGGGCAGGGATGGGGAACTGCGGCAGCGGGCATCCTCTCTAACTGCTCCAACTTTATGAAAAGATGAGACAACTGCTGCTTGAGCTGTTCCGCTGGCATATCACGCTGCTGCCACGCAATAATTGCTTCTAATTTGTGATTCAAGGATTGAACGTCCTGGCGAACCAAATTCACCTCAGAAGAAACATGATGGACCCCAGCGTTGGCTGCCGACACTCCCATTTGAACATTATATATCTCTCTCCTCGCCCCATGTATCTCCGTTCGGGCCCCATGGAGATCCATGCGGTGCCCTTCAGCATACCCAGTAAGATTTCGTACTTCTTCCTGGACAGCATTGGTTTTATGTCTAGCAGTTGACAAAACGTTTAGCTTCGGTTGCGCCGACTGAATGCTTCCACCGACATTCGATCCAGGAGGGACGTACGTATTGACGAGAGAAACAACTGCGTTGATACTCTGAACGTGAATGCTAATTTGATCCCTAATTCCTTGAATATTTGAAGTTTCTTTCACCCACATAATTCTTTTCCAATTGAGTTTAATTCTTTGGCGGGAGGTCGAGGGCAACTTCCTCACTTTTACAATTCCCCTCTCTTCAATAAATTCGACTCCCGCTAACGGCGAATACCGTTTAGCGAACTCCTTCAAATGCCAAATCGTAGCTTGACAATTTTCTATCATTCGGGCGATGGATTCATAAGCTTGTTCAACCAGTGGCGATGGTACAGCATTGGGGACGGTAGGACCAATAGCACCACTCTCTACTGAAGTTTTCAGCAGATCAAGCATCTGGCCTAAGCCATAGAGCTCATTCTGAACCTCTCGAAACTCCACCGGGGCTGCTTTTCGGCCAGAACCAAAGGCCTGCGCTATGCCATAGCACATATTTGCAAGGGCGATAACATCGCCAATTTGAATGGGCATAGCCATTTGAGCGGGGTAGCTTCTCTAAGAAGCGAGCTAAACGCTTGATTGTCTTATTATTATTTTCTCTTGACGAAATTTGCCTCAGATTGTCCACAATTCGGAGACAGGGGCTCCCATATTTCCCCTGTGCGACCCCGGCTGACCGGCGGTGTGCTATACACCGGCTTTCTGGAGGTTGCGGGACACAGTGAGATCAGGTATTGTGGATCGTGTGAAGGCGGGGTTGGGTGTTGTCGATTTACTCGTCAAGCCGTAGCGAACGGACATGTTCTCGCATGGGACTATCAACTCTCGTCGTCTTTATAAGGCCCCAGTGGACCAGTGATGGATCGTGGAGGATTGGAACAGTCGTGGAACAAATCGTGCACTTCAATCTAGCTCACAAGTACAAGGCCGAAAGGTCGAAACTTATAGATCCAAGGCACGACCGCTGACAAACTATCGTCTCAAAGGTCTCCCACTGGATCCTAGCTCCTTTGGGCCTAGTCGCAGTTCAGCCTCGGCCTCGCGACCCACATTTGTAGCAGAGCCTCATTTTTGGACTGATAGCGCTATAGCGGAGGAGTTTATGGGACCTCCGTTCACGGCGAGAGCTCAGCTACTCTTTATAGGCATGCATAGGTGACCTCGGATTGTGGATTCCATGTTTAGAGCTTGGCGCTTTTCGCTTGAACGCTTGAACGACGTGGAGGTCCTGCCCATGTCACACATGTCAGCTGTCCTGGCGAACCCCGCTATTCCTGAAATCAGTTGAACAGCACATCCCGAAAATGGAGAAGCGGTTCACAAGGCCTGTGAGATCGGAACGGCCTCACGGGAACGTATATTTCCCAGCCATGGTACCTTTCCTCGACCAAGGTTGACCCTCTCAACCGCTTTCTTCTGGTACTACCTACAGTTTAACAGCTGCTTCTTATGGTTCGGTTTTCCTTGATATATATTGCAATATATTGTTAGGAAGCCATTCTCCAAGAAGGTCGACTCAACTCTAGTATTTGTGTAGAGAGGGGTAATTTCCAATATTTCGTCTTTCGAAGGAACGCTGGCCGGACCAGTATCTTGAAAAACTTAAAACGCACTCTTTCAGCGCTCTTGAAGTACGGTAAATGAGGTCCGTTATCGCGAGGCGTGGCCAACCGGCTTCACTTCCTATCGGCTGGCACCGACGGTTCCTGATCTGCTTTTTTGGCAACCCAAATTCGAAGGGTCTTTATACCACTTGGCCGGGGCCGGTCCCTGATCTCTTCGTCTGCCTGAGCTTTCTTGGTTTGACATTTATAAGGCTCCAATCGGAAAATGAGGCAGCGGATTGGATAAAATGTTTCTGGGTCCCTGGGAAGGACCAGAGTTGGACAGGACCGACTCTGGAAGCTTTGGCAGATGAGGAATCTTCGGACGCAAACCAGGCTATGATCAAAGCGGACGCTCGTGGCCTGGCTCCCCAATATGTCGAGGAGAAACAGACCCGTCGAGAAGAATCAAAATCTCCCAGCGGCCGGTCAGAAGGCATTCAGCCAGACGAAGTTATCGAATTCGACATTGAACCTCAAGATGAAAAGCCAAAGAAAACACAAACGAGACGCCACAGCGAACACCACCCGAACCATAGACGAGACGAATTCTCAGAGCATCGTAAAAGACAGCCAAGATACTCCATGAGCAGCATGCCTGGTCGGAATGGATTCGAGCCTCGAAACCACACCCAGTATTTCATGGAAACTACAAGTACAGATGGTCCCCCAGACTCTAGTGCATTCAATACATTCGATACCTTTGATACTTTCGACGACACCGCAAGCGAGTTTACTCCTTTGCCCGAAAATCCGAGATATAGAGCCCGGCGAAATATGCGCCGAAGCTCGATGAACTCAAGTGCCTCTATCCGATCCGCCCAATCCGACAGCTTCCCAATATCCCCAGCTTCACCTCACGAAAACCCTGCTGATAATCCAAGCCTCCCGTCCCCTCGTAATTTTAGAAGGAGGACCAACAGCCATACCAGTCCGACATCACCCACAAATAGATTCCGAAGCCTGTCTCCGATTGCTGACTACCGCCCGCGAAGGGTGCCTTCACCAACAAATACCGAGCCCGTGTATCATCAATCCGAGAGCTCGTATATGCCAACACCCGAGTCTTCAAATACGAATTGGTCTGATTACACGCCGCCTGTGCAACCTGCACCCCGGTCTCCAGGCAGTACTGTCTCATATGCCTCGAGCCGAAGCTACGTTCCAGGATCAGCCCCAGAGGCAGCCGAGAATGTTAATGGTGACTTCACCGTTCAGGCCATACGTTCCTTCTCTGAGAGCGCGGAAGGCCGGTTTTACAAGGTTCGATGGGCAAACACTTGGGAGAGCAAAACCTCTATGCGTGCAGCGACTGAATCCGGCAAGTATACTGTCAAGGAAGTGTTGGAGTCGAGATACGTAAATGGAAAAGGCTTGTATCATGTCAAATGGCAAGATACTTGGGAATCTGAACAGGAACTCGGGGATATCGACCCGGTCAGGGTATATTGGCAGGATGTGGCAGCAGGTCGTAGACCACAGGGACATAGACAATCTTTTGCTTGAACATCATTAGCAGAGAATTTGTAACATATCGCTAGTATATCCGGCAGAAGCCATTGCGTTTCTCTCTCTTTTTTTTTTGAAGTGAAAGATCAATCAGAGTCAGAGTCAGAACCATATCCAACGAGTCCACCCAAACCAGCGGGAGGTTTTGTGACAGATGTATCCTTATTAGTAGGCTTCAAAGGCTCCGGGGCCTGTTTATCAGAGCCATGCAGCGATGGCGTAGGCGATTTGGTTGCCGAAACAATTTCAGGGTTCGTGACTTCGGCCTTGGATTTCGGCGAGTCGGTTCCAACTTTTGACTTCGCCAACGATGTATCATTGCTCTCTTCCTTAGTCCCATCACTCATCTTCCGCAGTTTGATGTTCGCACCGAGAGCGGTGTCCTTTTCCTTATCCTTCTTCCGTTTCCTGCGTGCAGGAACAGCCCACGTACTTTTGGATTCATCGGCAACCGAGGCTGTAGCATCAGGATCGTGGTCTGCCTCATACTGTAACTTGCGGAAATCGTCAAGGCGGGATTCAAGCTCCTTTTTCTTGGCTTCTTCCTCCGCACGCTGTTCACTAAAAATTGAATCGAGAAATTCAACTTCACCTTCATCAAGGGAGCGGAACTGATTTTTGAATTTGAGTTTCTCCTCAAATGCCTCTTGCTTCCGGGCTATAATACAAGTCAGTACTCGAAAGATGAATCAAATGACATACTTCGTAATCAATGGATAGAGGCTGCAGACCTTTGTTCGCTTGGAGAACTTCATACAGCGATTTACCGCCTTCCTGGCTTCCCACAAGACCCGAGGTGCTCGCTGCCTTCTCCTTTGCTTCTTTGATAGCAGCGTCCGCGGCCGCCCAAGCATCTACAGCAGAAGCTTCGCGATTATCTCCAGTATTGACATTGTGAATTTCGTCAGCATCGGCGGACTCTAGCCGTCCCGATGATACGAAACCTGAGGACATTGTTGTCGTGACTTGGTTCGAAAAGGGTCTCTGGCGAGACAGAAACGCGTTTCGGCTTTGGGTAGAAAATCGGCAACACAGCTTGGTTGCAACACAGAATGACATCAACCGACTCGACCTAAGCTACACCTAGGCACCTACAGCTACACCTACGGCCTCAGACCGGATTAAATTAATTAAATACAGGTTTTGCATTAATCTCGGATCGATTCTTGATCGATTTTGTTCCAGCCTTGTATATATACTTAATTATTTATATATATACTTAATTATTTATATACATACTTGGTTTATATACCTCTGCATGTTCGATCTGGATTGATCTTTCACACACCAGTTGCAAACCATATCCGGCTTATATCGATATCTTTATAATTACAACCAAAATTAACTCGAAGCGCGCCGTTGTGAACCCAAAATTGGTAAATGTCACACGCCGACGTTATAATTGTAAGTTCTCTATAGCTATCGACCATATACATATGGTCCTACATAATCTTAATTGACTAGCTCCAATTGGTACACGTGCCTGACCATCGGTTGCATGTGGTCAGGCCGGTGCCACGGCCGCATTTGCAATCGATTTAATCATCTACCCGCTAGACACTGTCAAAACTCGTATACAAGCCTCATCCGAGTGGACTGCAGGTAGAAGGGCATTGTTCAAAGGTGCCTACCAGGGCGTGGGTAGCATTATCCTTGCGACTCTACCTTCTTGTAGGTCAATTCACTCCCCCTACCGCATATATAGCCGTTACATTCTCGTTTGATGTCAATTGCAAAGAGCTTCATTGCATTGGATGAGTCAAGTTCAATGAACGTCAACTACCTACTCAGTGGCCAGTTAGGCACTTAAGTGCTAAAAGCAAGTAGGCTTTAATCACAGATCATTGACTCCGCTGACCAATTTTATTCACATTAAAAATGTATAGCGGCTGCATTTTTTCTCACTTATAACTTCCTCGTCAAAAACCTCTCATCTACGCTTTTACCTTCTAACAATCCACACTCGAAAGCCTTACAGCCCGCGATCCATGCTTTGTCCTCCGCAGTCGCAGAGGGTGCATCATGCGCAATTCTCACACCAGCTGAAGTTATAAAACAAAATGCGCAAGTCATCTCACCGAAATCCCGTGATACAACTTCCTTATCCCTCACAGTTTTCAAAACGCTTCTTAAAGAACCAAAAGGCCTATTTAGAGGCTACACTGCACTCGTATCCCGTAATCTTCCATTTACGGCGATGCAGTTTCCCCTTTATGAGGAGATAAGAAGAAAGATCTATAAACGCAAAAAGATAGACCATCCTTCGCTCATTCAAGTCGGTGTCATCACAGCCATTTCCGCTGGGTCCGCTGGGTCTTTTGCAGCTGCAATAACTACACCATTAGATGTTATAAAAACACGAATGATGCTACTCAAGCACGGTGGTAAGAGTGGCTCTGCGGGAATATTTGAGATCGCAAAGATGATTGTTAGAACCGAAGGTCCCAAAGCAATATGGAAGGGCGGTCTGCTTCGAGTCGTGTGGACATTTTTAGGGAGTGGGCTGTACCTTGGGACGTTTGAGAGTTCAAAGATATATTTATCACGAAGACGAGAGATAAGAGAACAATTACAATCTCGACACTAGATATTCAGCTCAAGGCCAGGGCAAAATATAACTTCCTTATACCAGTATACACCATCGAATCCAACCTAAATTCTCTATAGGCTGTTCTAGTTCCAATGTTATGCATGGAGGAACAATACAAAATTGTAACTGTTTCGTCAAGAAGCGAGCCCCTAGTTAGGCCGGGGCTTTCGGAAGGCTATTTTGGCCGAGCCCTACGAGATAAGCTTAAAATGCATGCCTAGAGTCGGCATCGCGAAACCAGCGGGCGGCCGACAATGGAAACCATGTATTGTATCAAACTCGCTTTGCCTGTTCGAGTCATATCCAAGACTTAATATCTGCGGGTATTCACAGTATATTAGCTAGCGAGGCAGTGCATCTGTGCAGACATACGTATGTGTAAGTCACAACCATGGACATGGACTGTAAGTACTTACTTATATACACTGTTCGATAACACATGGATCGAATTTCAATTGAAGGCGCAGCCAATTGCAAGCCAGTTATAGACTCCTAGCTCCTATACCCATATATATTATAACTACGGGGTACTAAGTTTTACTTACTTGGTACTAAATACGTAAGCAGACCTGGGCAATTGGCAAAGGGGATTAGAATATGAATATTTAGGCAGAGGCTGTCCGGTTCGCTGGCCGGGTTTTCGTCGTGTTATCCACCCCAATTCGGACTTACAGCACCTCGCTCACCAATCAGAGCGTCGTATTGCCCCCCCAATCCGTTCAAAACTGGAGCCCGGTGGCTATTAATTCCGATTACCGATGCAGAAGTGGATTCGCAATATTAAGATGATCCGACAAACTTAAGGAGGCTCCACTGGCATATATAAGTAAAAGTTTTGGGAAGAAGCGAAGGCCCATGTGGGATTATATAATAAATAGGTCTGAATCATTGTATTGATGGAGAAAATGCCTAAAGATCCCTAGAGGGCATCAATCTCGATCGATTCGACATACACACAATACTCTCCGACCCCCCAATATTATATTAATCCAGAGGGACGAAATTTGTAAAAATACATCATTTTGGTTGCGAGTTTGAACATTAATTTAAAACTCAGTGTTCGGGTCGAACCAGCTTATATACCTACTAGGTAGTATCCAGGTATTTACGCACCGCAGCCCAGTGGCTATCTGCACTGTTTGGTGTTTTATATACTTGGGCTTAAGTACATAGAGCATTGAACTTCCACAAGATCAGGATGGAAACTATACTACTGGAAATTCGACAAAATAGGCAAAGTCGTAGGTCACACATTCAGAACCGCCTCCCTCTCATATGTGCTAATCCAAATAAAAATCTATAAAGCGGTCCTTCGGTCATACTATCACTATGACCCGTCTGAAGTTGTGGCAATTGTAGCCTTAGTCCTCTATGTAAGATGTTTGACTCTTACTATCGAGGCCATTACTGGCCCTCCACATCATTGATTGCTAACGATCGTATGATTCAATCACTTATAGGGACTCGCGACTTTCGCCCATTTTTTCCAATACTTCCGTTATCGAGCATGGTATCTTACTGTCCTGCTGTTAGCAGGTATCATGCAGACGTTTGGATATCTTGCTCGTTTATTTTCCGCAAGAGACGTACACAACAGAGGCTTATACATCGCCCAGTTCGTCCTCGTAGTTCTCGCACCAGTGTTTACCGCAGCAGGTGATTATATCATCTTGGGGAGGCTTCTGGAGAGAGTCTTACCAGGCGGGCCTAGGGCAAAGGCACTGGGGCTTCCAGCGAGGTGGATTACATGGATTTTCGTAACCAGTGATATAATTAGTTTCGTGATGCAGGGAATAGGTGCTACGTAAGTATTGTTTAGTTTCCGTAGCCACATGGGTGGGTTCATCCTACATTGAAAACTAATAACCGGCTATATATAGCATTATCTCTGCGAATACCGATGGACGAAACCCTGGCGCTCAGGTACAAGGACAACATATCATCATGGCCGGTTTGGCGATCCAAATTGCGTTTTTCAGTTTCTTTGTCTGCGCAGTTGTCCGATTTGATACGAAGACCAGAGAATCGCATCCAGGTGCGAAATGGCGTGCCCTAGTATATTGCTTATATATCAGTTGTGCTTGTATCCTCGTAAGTTACCTCTCATAGGAACGCTCGCTGAGGACAAACAGCTAAATTATCTACAACCAGATCCGTTCGATCTACAGAATTGTCGAATTTGCGCAAGGTTGGAATGGTTACCTCATGTCCCATGAGGTGTACTTCTACGTCCTGGAAGCCTTGCCGATGCTCCCATGTCTGGTGATTTTCAATATCTTCCACCCATCCAAGTATTTACCGGAGCCGAAAGCCACCGAGGAAAGTCAGGATGTTGCCTTGGAGAACCAGGAGCCTTATGGTAGCCGGGAGGGCATTGTGTCAACCTCCAATTATTGACAACTACCGTAAATTTGGGGGGCATATCCGTAAAGACTTTATGATGATGTTCAACTAGATACAGATCTAGATTATATATAGACTGGCAGTTTCAGTAGATTGGATTTTTTTTGTTATAAAAAGCTCTTTTTATTGTTTTGTTGTTTTTAATCTTATTTTATTGTATTTTATCTTCTTATATCTTGGATTAGGCCCTATGATATTTCGGATTCGATTTTGATTTCTTTAGCGATCGACTAGCTTCCTAGATCTGCTATTATAACGCAATCTATTGGTGAGGTTCCTCATATCTTCATTCGGATTCATCTTACTTGCAGCTGAGATTATCAGCTTATAACAGCAGCGCTTCACTTTTGGATGACAAAATGCGCATTTGTATTTTGGCCAGTGTAGCTCTGGGTACCTACTCAAGTAGGTACCGTGGCCGGTTATGACTTCGGTTTTTGCTGATTATAAAACCCAAAGACCTAATTGCCCCCCGAATAACAGAGAGAAGGGAAGGAAGGGAATCCCGTACCGTGCTGGCAACTGCTCTGTGCAGACTTTGGTATAATATATAGCTCAGCGCAGTGTCAGTCAAAGCACATGTACAGGCTTACGCAGGGATCACGTTAAACACGTTTACCGGAATTTTATGTAACGTTGTGCCATGGGCTTAACATGTATGTAGCCTCGAGACGAATCGTGCCTGCCACTAACTAGTCTGCATGTAACCCAAGATCAGGCAATGAATAATGAATACGGAGTATATAATATAAGATAATACATGCATACATACATA